CATCTTGGAAAAATAGTCTCGACCAGTCGATCTACGAACGCTGATCCATGTGCGCTGGTGAGATGTGAATAAGGTGATAATGTGAGCGCGAACAGTAGGCTACGTGTACATATTGAAGACAAGTAAACGGTTTGTGTTTGTGTTTCTTCTGGAAACAACGGACCATATGAGATTCTGCACAGTTCAGCGCACTTGGATCGGCGCTCGTAGATCGACTGGTCGAGACTATTTTTCAAAGATGGCTTCTTCCTGTATTCGCGAAGTTGACTGTGTGTATAAAATATCTTCTTATTAAACTGTTTGGACACTGACAAAGTTCTCAACGCTTCGGTTTGAATGTAGGGACCCTTGTTATGCTGTTGCGTTGGTGTGGGGCTATTTTGAGCCGTGTTAGTGGTAATAACAAGCGATTTTTATTTGTCATTACTCTATGCCCTATATACTAGCATTATACTAGCGTTATAGGCTAAACTGTTTTTAGAAATAAAACTATTTACATTCGGCAATCATGAAAACAAATCTCGGATAACGGTTGACTAGGTAGCAATGTGTAATTAGACCAAAGGTTCATTTTGCGCTGGAGTTGTCCTTTAAGTGTCTGAAGTTGTAAACAATGATACCATTGTGCAGCGTTTACCTCAGCAAGTTGGCCGAGAGAATCTCTGAGCTGGTGTGAGTGAGTGAAGAAATGCTGAATGCGCCAATCTGACACTCATCTTATTGGTCCAATTGGGTATCAATAAAAACAGGACTGCTCCAAATCCGATACTGGTACACCAATTTGCAGTAAAACTTAAAATAGTTACAAATTGCTATGAAACTGCATTGGGCAAATCATTCTCCATTCAACATTCAAACAGAATGTCACAAGGTAAAACTCTCTTCAAGATGTTCCAACATTCCCCCTTTTTATGCATAAACTGAACATAAAGGCCTGTGCTTTTCTTTAAAAAGACTGTATTTTGCTGGATCTTTTTGGTGATTCTGAATGATGTGTTTTACCAATTCACCAATCCACAAACTGACACACACATCTTTACCAGCTAACACACATATTCTACACTCCTTTTCTCAGCTTTCAGAGGTAGAAGTTTCCAAACTCCTCCTTTCCAATCACCGTACTACCTGTCCGCTTGATTCCCACTATTCTACTTCAAGCCACAACACTGATGGAACAACTAAAAGTTAAAAGTTTAAAAATATTTCCTACTTTAAAGGGGTCATGAACTGGCTTTTTAAAAAAATGTATATTGTTGTCTGAGGTCAACTTATGATGTTCGCTTGGTTACATTAAAAAAAAACATCAAAATGAATAAGTAATAGGCCATTTTCTACCCTAGATTTATGCCCAGCTCAAAAACGTTCGGTTTTTATGGGCGTCTTACATTGAAGACTTGGAGGTAAACACCCAGTGCTGTGAGTGGATAACAGTTTTGCATATAAAAATGAGTGTCACTCTCGATCCTGTTTGTCATCACGAGGTAGACAGACCTATGTTATTCAGCTATGCGTGTAATGAGCGAATCGGTGGGCGGGGCTAAACCGGCCATAGGCGGTGCTCTTCTTCTGCAGGGGTGGTGTTTTTTCCTCTTTGACGTCATAGTTCCCCACTTTGAAAAACGAGTCGTTTGCTGAGCCTGGTGTCAATAAAAGCTTTTATTGGACTAACAAGGACGTTTTCAGTTCTGAAACTTACAGGACATTCTTATAATATGATGACCTCTTAGATGTCAAAAACTCAAGGAAAATTTGATTTCTCAGTTCATCACCCCAAGAGGTACTGCCTAAGAGTATCTCAATTACAAAGCTAGATTCCCAAAAAAGTTTTTTGCAGTGGTTTTGCACCAGGGGTTAAAGTGGGCTGGAACGGTCCGTAACTGTGTTCCGGCACCTCAGATCGGCAGTCTTACAAAGATATCAATAACAGTATTAGTTTTTAGAAACCCTCAAATACACACAAAAAAAATTTAACCGCCACAACAACAAGAGACGTTCCACAACCCAAAACTAGACTTCAGATGGCACACAAGAGTTTGCTGTTGGGCTGCAAAAAAGCCACTGTTTCGATTATTAAAAAAAAATAAAAATTTAAACACAATCCACTAACTTCATGAAAAATGATACCGAGATGGCAGAAAGATAGTCTGAGTTTCCCCATAATGCGCAATTTTATTCACGCTGAAAGGGAGTCTGGATACCATGGCCAGATTTTCGCCTCATTTAGGGAACCAATCACAGAACGGGGCGGGAGCAGCAAGACGATGACGACATCTATGCCACACACCAAAGCAGTTTGTTCATATCTATGGATTCAACATGGCAGCAGACACGAAGCTACCTTTTGACGCAGCCTTAGATATTGTTCTAAGTAGTTTAGAATGCAAGTTTATTTAGAAAAAGAGTCGCTTTTGCAACATGACATCATGACTTTTGCGTAAACATATACGCCACTTTCGAGTCAGGTGGCGTGTTATCTCTACGCATTTTGAGCTATCCGCGTGTATCCGCGTGTATGCGTATATGTCTACGCCATTAACGTCCGCGTCATTCCGCGTGTCCGAACACGCAGTCAAATCTCCAGTCATAAATGCCATTACCCCAGTGACGGTTAAGTTTAGGGATGGGGTTGAGGTAAGTCATATCTTTTTTTTTACCTAGGATGGTAAGGGAACAGTCATAAATGCCATTAACCCCAGTGACGGTTAGGTTTAGGGACGGGGTTAAGGTAAGTCATATATTTATATAACATTAAGTCAACGTCATTCATAAACACGCTGAAAGGCGATTATGCGTCTTGATAGCACGCCAAAAATGGAAATACGAATTGGCGTGTCATACACACGCTACTTCATGAGATCAGCCTGGCTTTTGGCATTAAATTTCGCGAGACCCCAGTCGTTATTGTTGTCTCGCCATTAATCTACAGGAGGTACAGGAGGTGGTTAACCTTGGAATATCTGCCGCTCAGCTGTGTCCCGAGAAAGAAAATGCGACAAAGAATTGTCGATACCAACTTCTGTTCGGCAGTCCCGAGGCCTGGATGAGCGCAAAGTGGCAAGACATGTTAGCCACGGAGTTGTATAGTACCATCCTGCTAGGCATCGTCGTCGACGAAGTCCTTTAACTTATAAATAGCAAGGTATTTATTAATATCATATTGTCATTAGACTACCTACTGTGGTTGTCACAGTGCCACTAAGTAGTGTTGTTTTTCAATATTAATATACAGCTACCGCTTTAGTAGCATACTGTAACTTCCAGCTGTGCACACGTACCCGATTAAAGGTTGACACTTGACACTTTAGTCATTAAATTAAATTTTTATTTTGTTTAACTTGTGAAGTACAAGCGCAAACAATTTACAATGCAAATAACAACTTCAACATCCATGTTAAACTGTACTTAATACTTGTGTTTTTCTAATGGAAACGATATGAGCTACGTACAGGCACATTTGATAGACATTCTTAGCACCCAATAAACGGCGCCGGGCTTTCGTAAACCACGCCTCAAATACAAGAAATTGTGCGTGTGGTTCCCAGACCCAAGTGTCAACGAAAATTGGGTCTGGCGTTAGCCAGGCTAGCAGAAAGAGGCATCCTGTCTGTTTTCTTTATTTTATAAAAGCACACTGTTTCGTTTTTATTGTGATTGTTACTAAGTTGTGAGTGGGACTAAATGCCGCTAAGTGGAACAAACAGTAATTTGCACTACTGTCTGTTCAAAATAATTGAAAAGAAATCTAACATTGGGGATTTGTTGCTTTTTCCTGTTGTACCGAATTCATATCGAAACGTGACCCCGAAACCAAGTTACGTACCGAACTGTGATGTACCGTTACACCCCTAGTAAACACTTCTTAAAAGAAACATTTTCCTCACTCTGAAGAACATTGCAATAAAAGGAAAAATCATTTTACACCTTAAAGAGCCTTTTATGCAATCAAGGTTCCATGGATGTTAAAACTTTTTCAAAGAACCACAGATACCAATAAAGAAACATTTTAATCATGTAGATGATTTTGTTTAATGAACTGTTGAGTTATATCACAAAACTTTGGGCTTTGAACACTGACCAGGCTTACAATCCTGCTGAGAGTTTAGAAACAGTGGGTATGTCCTGGTCAAATGTGTCCTCGTGTGAAATGTCAAATATCAATGGAAATGGCACTATGCCAAAACAGTTTGATACCTCCACCAACCTCTAAAACCTTCATAGAGAACTAAAGAAAAGGAATAACCGGTTCAACTAACACGTTACATTTCTGCAGTGGTTTTTGAAGGGTAGCAGGTTTGTTCCTGCTTGGGTCACAGAGAGGAGCGGATAAAAATGCAACTGACTATCTGGCTAATTATCCATTTAGCATAGCAAATAGGCTGGGCTGTGCAAGTGCTCAAAAAGAGGGCAGGTCCAAATCCAGCCTGTGTCCCAATCACATGCTCTCCCTCCACTTACCTGTCCAATTTCACTGTTTTCAATTGAAATAAAACTCTGTTTTGTTTTTTTCAACTGTAAAATGCTAAAAACCTGCTAATTGGTTAACAGTAACTTCCCTTATATGGAAAACTGTAATAGATTCTTACATTTCATCAAATTCTTCAATAAAATATTGTTAAATGTACCGTTTTGCATGCAAAAAGAACAAATAATAATAATTTACAGTGAAAAGCTGTAAACTGACATATGAGTTTGCTGTTTTTTTATTTTATTTTAATAATTATGTTTCTTCTTAGTTTTTTTTTATCTTATCAGTAATGTACATTAGAGCTGTATGTTACATCTTATGTTGTTAAATGTATGTTCATTGAATTATTTTAGTGACCGGCTATGTATTAGAAACTGACAGTAGCTAACTGCGTTGTGATGTTAAATGGCCAATTACATCTAGACCATAGAATAAACAAACCAGTAATAAAAATAAAATAAAAAAACTGAGCAATTGCAGTACAATGTCCTCCTGTAGCAGCTAATCCATCTAAAAACAGTAACACACGGCTTACCTTGTGCCTTTATCACCCATCGCGAGGACCTGCGTGTTCCACAGAAACTCTTCTGCTAGTGGGGAAAAAGATGAGAGAGGTTGTCGAGAAAAGAGAGGGGAGCACAGCCGATGGAAAAAGGAGGATGGAGAGAAAGACTGAAAGAAAGATAATTCACTACGCTGCGTTATAGTCACTTCGGCAGCTCTCCTTGCGGTTTGAGAGCTTTCCAGATGAATCCAATTAAAGGAGCATCTTCCACTGCCGCTTGCCAACAGACAAACCCCGCGTTTCCAAATAAAACAAGCGAAAGCCGGCGATTGTTCGCTGCCTTCCTGTTCTGCTCTGGTTTAAGAGTCCTTCAGGCAAAAAAAAATAAATGCTGTCGTGTAGATCCTAAAGCTATAGAAGCGTCCGTTTGATATCCACACTGCCTCCGTCTACCAGAGCTCTCACCCTCCCTTCCGCTGTGCTTATTCTCTCACTCACTGTCTCTCCTCCTCACTGGGTGTGTGAGGGTATGTGTGTGAGTTGAGGTGAGTGGGTGATGATGTTACTCTCCAACGCAGAGCAGATATAATTCTCGGTTTGCCGTAACTGTGTGAAACGAGCTCGCGCGCTGTCTGTCGCCTCGGCGACGGGTGAAGCATTATTTAAATCTTGACAGTGACATAATTTAAAGTAGTGTTGCATTTCAGTTCTAAACTAAAATCAATATTGGACAGGATAAATCATACAATCAGCCATTTAGTGGGTTTAAGACGGTTTTATTAATTGAAAAAATCATCCCTGATGTTTTTAGAGTGTTTGATCTCTTTTTTATTTATTTTTTATTTAAAGAGTTGTTAGACTGTAGAATATCAGCATCAAGCTATAAATTCGTTTCATTCAGGAACTGAAATTAAGATTTCTAAAAACTAAAAATAACTAAGATGCATGGTAGGCTATGGAAGTTTGTTTCCGCCACTGAATAAAAAAAAAGTAAGTTACGACTTTTTATCTTAGGCTACAATTCACACTGTGTTTCTCTCAAAGTTGCGTCAAATAAACTTGCAATTTGCGAGAAAAAAGAATTACGTGAAAAAAGTTAGAATTACATAATACAAAAACACAATCGTGAATTGTAAAGTCAAGAGTTGCGAGACATTTTTCTCAGAATTCACCCTTTCGCTGGGAGTTTGATTGACAGGGTGTTTTTCGATCTGACCAATCATAATCCCGGCCGCCATCAGCCTAATCCACCATTTTATCCGACTAAACAGTCAGGAGAGTTAGTAGATTAACGTTGGTGGACTTGAAAAACTGTGTGTACTGATGTCTTTCAGCAGTTGAAACAACATTCTTTCTGATGTTCATTCGATACTATAAATGGACTTGATCGGTTCGCAAGCAGCTTTAACTGAGGCTACAGCGATCTGTCACGACTTAAAGAGTCACAAAATTTCTTAAAGAAAAGACAATATTTGAAAGCTGAGACTTTTTTTCATAACAAAAGTAACCTGCTCTGTCCTGTTTGTCGCGCGCTGTCCATGTCATCTCTGTTCCACGATGTATTTGTATATTGAGAACATGATGTGTGGCGCGAGAGTGTTGTGGCTTGTCAGACGAAGCAACAGTATGGGACAGGCCTTTGCAAATGGTCAATTGCGAGTTTATAGCCCCTTTCACACAGCAATCCTGGTAAATTACCGTAAAATTATCAGAATAACTTTATCGGTAAATGCACAAATATGCTAGCCTGACTACGTCAGACTTCCTACTTCCGTTAATTTCATTTCGCTCCTGTAGTGAGTCTGAGATAGCGGCCTATCTTTCAGTTATCCACCGGCCTGAAAACAGCCGGCCAATCAACAAACAGAGGGCGGGCTGAGAGCCGTGACGTAGACGCTAAGCGCCGAGATTACATTGTAGGTTAGAGAAATCGAAAACCGAAACAACCGCAGAAATGGGACACAAGACACGGGATGCAATTCGCTCTGTTATGGAGAACATTCCAGGGTTTTTCAAACTGAAGCAAAAGTCGTTTACAGCCATGTTCACTCCGGTATTTTGCTCGCATCATCAGTGTTTACAGCTAGGACCGGCGCGTGCACTTCTGCCGCTCTAGGCAAAAAATTATTTTGCTGCCCATTTATTTGCAACGTATACCAGCAAAAACCAGCATGCTTGGCCATTATGTAGCTTGCACAACGCGCATACACTTTTGATTCTCTCATCAACACAGATGCAGCCGTTTTTATTTTTGCAAATCATTATAACAAGGAAAAATATTAACACTTCAAGCTTAGGCATTTAGGCTACCCAATTTTTTCAGGCTAATTGTAGTAATGACGGATCAGACCTGTTTTGGCCATAACTATATGCCTAACTATAAGGACATAACTTAACTTACCCCCATTCAACGTCAGTTCTCCGCCTTTTACGGCCATGACAAGAAAGTCGGTCTCCTCGGCTGTGAACGCTCCTGGTGTGCTCTTATTATCATATTATTATTATCATAATAATAACAACAATCCACCATATTTCGTTTCGACATCCTGCTGCATTAGTCCCAGATATGTGATCCATGAACGATCTGTTCATTGCGTATGTCACGTGACAAATGAATGTAAGACTCGGAAGGTAAAGTGATGTAAATCATTTTTTACTGCATTATAATTTCTTAATTCAGAATATGATCAACATTGCGTAGGTGGATGTGATTGGGGAATTTGGCTGTTAAAAGTATAAAATTAAGCCACTTAAATAAATGAAATGACTCGGAAAATCAGTAAAATGCATTTCCTATTCATGACTCGCGAGAGCAGCGGCTCAGTCTTGCCCTCGCGGCGCTGCGGGGCGGCGGAAGCTAAATCAGTCATGACTCGTGAGAGCGGGGCACGCCGAAGTTGCGGGGCGGCCGCAACTCAGTAATTCATATAAATAACCTAGTTTGTGAATTGTTCATTCCTGGTTGGCACACATTTTGCAGCCCTTACAAAAGCGCCGCTCCCTGTTTACAGTGGAAGTTCGATCATAGATTTGAGTTCGATGCATAATGTCTCGATGCGGCCGTGTCGGCGCATAACATACGTCATAAATAAACTTATCTGATTGGCTTACGGGTAACCAATGATTTTAAACTTCAGAGAAGCGCCCCCTTGCGAGAGAGAAAACACTTCTCTATTATGCCATTCCAGACTCTGTCTACGAAGCAAAGTGAAGTAGCAGAGTCTGGTATTACCAGGCTACAAATATGCTGTTCACACAAGCAACGGCGCTCTGGCTTTTTACCGGTAAGTGACCATTCCCACATCAGCAACAATATACCGGTAAATTCTGTGATGTCAGTCATCAGAAATTATCTTTAATCGCAGTGCCATTGTCTTCAGCCGCCCGCATGAGGAAAAGAGCTTTAGTTTCACTGTCTGTTCAATTTAACAAAAAAAGTTTTACATCTGAGTGAAAGGCATAACGGATGATCAAACAGAATGCATTTTTGTTCTTAAAAACGCGAGGCGTGCATGATAATTACCAACTGAAGAGCCGGTATTGCTGATGAATGGAAAAGGCGTCAGGGTCTCTAGCGCGGCACGTTGAAAAAGCTGTGAGATGTGGCGCAATGGTCAAAGATGATCATTTAGTGCATATTTAAATAGAAAACATAATAAAAAGCTTACTGTAAACAGCGCAGAGTAGTCATGTCATCTTCATAAGTCTTAATGATTGGCCCAAAGCAGACTTCTTACGTCAGCACATTCTGACTTTGTACACGATCATACCGGTAATCTTCATTCCGCGTTCACACAGAGCACATTACCGGTAATTTACTGGTAATGTTACAACTTCCCTTACTGGTAAAATGCCAGAACCAATTTAAAGGTATTTTTGAAAAGGTCCTGTTCACACATGATCTGTTACTGGTAATTTAGCGGTAAATTACCAGTAAAGACTGAATGTGTGAAAGGCTAATATCTAGTATTTATATTTAGTTTTTCTGAAATTATGATATTTTTTCTCAGAATTGAGAGATATAAACTCACAATTCTGAGAAAAAAGTCAGAATTGCGAGATGTAAAGTCACATTCCATAATTACTTCACTGTTATGACAAAACGTGTAACTCTTAAAGCAACACTAAGTAAGATTTTTTACCTTAAAATAATGCTTCCAAAATCGTTTCAGTGGTTTGTTAAAGGGTTCACCCAAAAATGAAAATTAAGTCATCTATTACTCACCCCCATGCTGTACCAACCCCGTAAGACCTTCGTTCGTCTTCGGAACACAAATGAAGATATTTTTGATTAAATTTGAGAGCTGTATAACTACCACATTGGCTCCTAAAGGACTGCCTCTTGACGGCCCAGAAAGTCAATGAAGAAAATGTTTAAATATCCCAAGTGACTACCGTGGCTCAACTATATGTTTATCAAGCGTAGATCCTTCCTTAGATTTCCACGACGCATGCGCGAGAATTGCGATCTGAAGTAGTGTAAGCTGGTGTGAGCAGATCGCAAATCTCGCGCATGCGTCGTGGAAATCTAAGGAAGTCTCGTTCTGGCCTACAAGGAAGAAAAGAAATAGTCGAATAAACTCGTTATTTTTGTTTGTTTTTTCGCACAAAAAGTATTCTCGTCGCTTGATAAACATATAGTTGAGCCACGGTAGTCACTTGGGATATTTAAACATTTTCTTCATTGACTTTCTGGGCCGTCAAGAGGCAGTCCTTTAGGAGCCAATGTGGTAGTTATCCAGCTCTCAAATTTAATCAAAAATATCTTCATTTGTGTTCCGAAGACAAACGAAGGTCTTACGGGGTTGGTACAGCATGGGGGTGAGTAATTAATGACTTAATTTTCATTTTTGGGTGAACTAACCCTTTAAGTCGTAACTGGGTGAAAGGCACTTCTGGACCATGCTATGCAAGATTGCCAGATCGGGTCACGTTTCTGTAGTTCTAATGAGATATAAGAAAACTACAAATTTGACTTGCTTTACATCAAGCTTTACAATAGGCAATTATTTAGTTTTTCTTCGTTTCTGATGTCGCAATACATCACACTTTTTATGAAATCATGCAACATACTCTAACTTGTCTGTGGACATCGTTCATTCCAAAGCCGGCACTGGATAAACAACGAGCGTGTGTGTGTGTGATAGTACGCTAAATTATTTACGACAGCGGTAATGGACAATTCCGCTTCCAACCTGTAGGGCGACTGCAGAAGAAAAGTTACTTGGTGCTGCTTTAAATACATTAATATTCTAAAATGAATGCTAAAATCATGTTACATTGGCACTTTTCACTAAGAGGATAAAGTTTGGTGTCCCATTACACTTTTAATAAAACACCAATCCAAAGTTGTTGTTTTTAACACATTTTAAACACATCAAATCTCTCAAAAATTACATTTCAAACAGTTACTGTAAGAAAAAAAACTTTAAATCTCCAAAGTGATAAATCTCCAACCCTGTTACATGCAGTACTTACAACACAGTTAGCCGGTTTACCACAGTTGAATATTTCACTGTTGAATTATGATGTTCATTTAATGTAGAAAACATTTGAAATGGTTTAAACTATGTCTTGACATGAATGTTGATGTTTCAGGACCTATTTTTAACCTACAGTTTTAATAGAAAGTGCCTATTAGAACAAAGACAAGCATGGACTTATTCTTCTTTGCTCTTCTTCTTTACTTTCCTGTAAACAACGGACTATCATCAAACTCACTTTTGGTCCTTACTCTGTAGTTTTGAATGGTATAATATAATACATTTTTTAGTCACAAAACAATGATAAAACTAACCTTAACCCTAACAATATAATAATAATAATAATAAAGAAAACACTTTCCCCAAGGAGTGCAATAGCTCTTAGTGGCTTCATCCATTCTGATTTACTTAACCAGATTATTTAATGTTTTCAAGCAGGTCATGAAAAAAACATTTACACATATTTAATCAATCATTCAATCTATCAATCTTTTTTATCTTTTCTTTTTTTGCATTGTATTGCAACATTAGTTACAGTTATTTCCATTTCCATTCTCATTATTACATGGTGAAAAATCTGTCATTGCCATAATGCACATATACCGGATGTATACAGTACATGTAAACTTATAAAGTCAAGTATTTTTAGAATTTGTTGTACTGTCTTTTATTTATTCTGATATTATTATAAAAAAAAATATAATAATTGTGAATAAATACCTTCTTGTTTTCTTTTGATTCCAAGATGAAATATAACCTTGGCGTGTTATAACTTTACAATAACTCACAATACAAGAATTTACTGTAAAATGAGTGGTTTCTGTGGCACATACTAAATCATAGTAACTCGCACATAGTTTTCGGTTAATACATATTCTAGACTTTACATTAAACTCTCTGGTCCAACAGCTGACATGAGTAAGATGGGCATTAGATTTTCCTCAGCTAGCCTATAATTAAGTTGCAAATGAACGCAGCAGATTAAATGACATGCCGTTCTGTGAATTACGCTGGACTTGTGTGATCTCTGATGGGAGTAATTTGGTTCTTCAAAGTCAGTCAGAGACAGCAGGCTCTTTTAAATGTTAATCTGAGCGCAGTTTAGCAATGAGCATACTGGGTCTCTACGGCAGCACTGAAGAGTGTGGCGGAGGGCAAGGCTTCCTCTCATTCATTTTTAAAACACAGTCCCTTTTTATAATAAATTACCAGTCAATCCAGTATAACTGAGCTCTTCCCTGAGGCAGTGATTAACAACATACTGTACACTGGGGTCTAAATGTCTGAGACCACTAGTGAAAGTGTTTCTATTTTGAAACACTAATGCTATAATTCTTATTTGTAAAATTATATTAGCAGCATAACAATTTTAAGCTTTAATGACAGCAACACTCAAGTTGTTCTGCATGTGATATTAATCATTATCATAATGATAATTTCACAAATTTGATTTAGTAAATTTAATTAGTGATCTATATTAATAAGATGATTTCAATGTGGTTTAAGACATCTGATATATATTACGGTTCAAAAGCTTTGGTATCTGTAAGATTTTTAAGACAGTCACTTAAGGTTGCATTTATTTGATCAAAAACACATCAAAAACAGTATTATTTGGTATATTATTACAATTTATTATATTTTTAATATATTTTAAGTGTAATTTATTCCTGTAATGGCACAGCTGAATTTTCAGCTTCACTACACCCAGTTTTCAGTGTCACGTGATCATTCAGAAATCATTCTAATATGATGATTTGCTGCACAAGAAACATTTCTAATTATTATCAATGTTGAAAACGGGTGATATTTCTGTGGAAACCACAATCCAATTTTTTCATGATTCTTTGATGAATAGAAGTTTAAAAGAGCAGCATTGCTTTGTTTTTGTTTAGAGTTTTTTTTTTGTTTTTGTTTTTTGTAATATTATAAATGTCCTTACTGTCACATTTAATCAGTTTAATGCATCCTTAAATATTAATTTCATAAAAAACTAATATATATATATATATATATATAAAAGTTTGTGTTTACATAATATATGTGGGTGCACTGTGTATAATTATTTTGTATATATATAAATACACACACATGCATGTATATTTAAGAAAAAAATATTATTTATATATAAAATATTTATATTTATATATAATATAAATTATATATAAATCTGTATATACATGAAAATATTTATTAAATATATAAAAGCATGTATGTCTATTTATATATATAAAATAATTATATACAGTGCACCCATATATATTATGTAAACACAAACTTTTATTTTGGATGCGATTAATCGCGATTGTGCGACAATATACAATGGGCTTTAAGCAGGCATTGAAAATGATGTCTGTGTTTTGATTTCTAAAAATAGGACTGATATGCGAATAGGCTGGGTTCGAGTTTCCACGTGATCAGAAATGTGCTGTCATGTTCTTAAAACAGGTTGGTTCCATTTTGTTCATGTTTCCCTTTGATATCAAATCCCAGAGGCTGAAATATCTGGTGTATGTCAAGAGAATTTTAAAGTGGCTGGCAATTATAGTAAGTCAAGCAAAAGGAAGGCCAACAAATGCTTCGTCACGTCCTGCGTCAGTAATTCATTTGTAACAAGGTTTCAAAACAAAACCCAGACAGCTCCGCTCGACAGTCGCCAGACCCCAGTAACATTAGCACATCTGTTTGTGCTTTTGAATGACACGGCTTCTTAGCAACAACGACTGTCACAGCACTGTGGGTCGTGCTCTTGACGGAGTGCAGAGTGTGAGCTTGTCCCAACAAGGTTGTGTTGTGATGACATCCCTGAGTGCATTTCCAGGAGGAATTTTAGTTGATAAGATGGAAAAAGGGAGCCCATGTCTGGTCTCAGATATCACTCCAGAGCACAGCTCGACGGCTCTTGTCCACGCTTACCATGTATTCGCCCGACAACGACCAGGCTACAGCGCTTATTGGAGCACTGCAAAAAGAATTAAATCTTAGAATTCAGTTTTAAAGGCAAAATTAAAGAGATAATTCACCACATCCCACACACAAAAATCAGCAAAAGTGGAATTATTGACACAAAAAGCACCATAAAAGTGGTCAATACAACTAAATTATGGATTCCAGTTACTCTAATGTCATCCTAAATACCAAGATAATAGCTATGTGTGAGAAACAGACATAAATTTAAAGTGACTGTATTTACAATAACTCCACCCACTGACGTCTGGTTGGGTAGACAAATTTATGGAAGACGATGGATTGTCAACAGTAGGAATAGTGTAAGGCTAAGGCACATGACAGGAAGTTCAAGACAAATCAACGCAAGTTCGAATCAGCCTTTTGCCGAACTCGCTCTACGCTTATATAATATAAAAATAAATCAATTAATTTATTTTTAATAAATATGATAATTTACACTCTATTATTATTGCACACCTTTTAATGTACAACAACACTGAGGTGCAAATAGTACAGGTCCTTCTCAAAAAATTAGCATATTGTGATAAAGTTCATTATTTTCCATTATGTAATGATAAAAATGAAACTTTCATATATTTTAGATTCACTGCACACCAACTGAAATATTTCAGGTGTTTTATTGTTTTAATACTGATGATTTTGGCATACAGCTCATGAAAACCCAAAAAATTAAAAATCTCAAAAAATTAGCATATCATGAAAAGGTTCTCTAAACGAGCTATTAACCTAATCATCGGAATCAACTAATTAACTCTAAACACCTGCAAAAGATTCCTGTGGCTTTTAAAAACTCCCAGCCGGTTTCATTACTCAAAACCGCAATCCTGAGTGCTGTCCAGAAGGCCATCATTGACACCCTCAAGCAAGAGGGTAAGATACAGAAAGAAATTTTTGAACAAATAGGCTGTTCCCAGAGTGCTTTATGAAGGCACCTCAATGGGAAGTCTGTGGGAAGGAGAAAGTGTGGCAAAAAACGCTGCCCAGCGAGAAGAGGTGACCAGACCCTGAGGAAGATTGTGGAGAAGGACCGATTCCAGATCTTGGGGGACCTGCGGAAGCAGTGGACTGAGTCTGGAGTAGAAACATCCAGAGCCACTGTGCACAGGCATGTACAGGAAATGGGCTACAGGTGCCGTATTCCCCAGGTCAAGCCACTTTTGAACCAGAAACAGCGGCAGAAGCGCCTGACCTGGGCTACAGAGAAGCAGCACTGGACTGTTGCTCAGTGGTAAAGGTGCCAGAGTCAGGAGGAAGACTGGGGAGAAGGAAATGCCAAAATGCCTGAAGTCCAGTGTCAAGTACCCACACTCAGTGATGGTCTGGGGTGCTGGTGTTGGTCCACTGTGTTTTATCAAGGGCAGGGTCAATGCAGCTAGCTATCAGGAGATTTTGGAGCACTTCATGCTTCCATCTGCTGAAAAGCTTTATGGAAATGAAGACGAAGTGCCAAAACCACTGGTAAATGGTTTACTGACCATGGATTACTGTGCTCAATTGGCCTGCCAACTCTCCTGACCTGAACCCCATAGAGAATCTGTGGGATATTGTGAAGAGAAAGTTGAGAAACGCAAGACCCAACACTCTGGATGAGCTTAAGGCCGCTATCGAAGCATCCTGGGCCTCCATAACACCTCCGCAGTGCCAAAGGATTGCCTCCATACCACGCCGCATTGAAGCAGTCATTTCTGCAAAAGGATTCCCGGCCAAGTATTGAGTGCATAACTGATAGGGTTGGGTATCGTTTGAATTTGAACGATTCTGATTCAGATTCCTTGTTTCGATTCTGGTTCCTAACGATTCTCGATTCCGATTCTTTTAAGAGGCAGGGTCAAAAAAGTTTAGCTAACCTTGCTAACCAATGGCCTTTCTGAAGGAAATACTCCTTTCTGAAGGAAATACTCCTTCTGTAAAAATACTCCTTTTGTCACAAATTTTGCATTTTGCCGAGATTTCGTTATTTTTAGAAAAGTGAAGCCACACTTTGGATCGCCGACGTAAGGTACTCGCGTTCGACTCGCGTGTTTATGCCAACACTTCTGGTAGACGCTTCTTCGTTGGTGTTGTTCAGCGGTTTCTTCTTCCGCTTGGCGGACTGTGAATATCGAAACTAGGAATCGAAATTTTAACTTTTGAACGATTCCAGGAAAAACGAAAAGTTAGTCTCGGTTCCAATCGATACTCGATTCTCGATACCCAACCCTAATAACTGAACATAATTATTTAAAGGTTGACTTTTTTTTTTATTAAAAACACTGATTTTATTGGTCGGATGAAATATGCTAATTTTTTGAGACAGGAATTTGGGGTTTTCATGAGCTGTATGCCAAAATCATCAGTATTAAAACAATAAAAGACCTGAAATATTTCAGTTGGTGTGCAATGAAATTAAAATATATGAAAGTTTGATTTTCATCATTACATTATGGAAAATAATGAACTTTATCACAATATGCTAATTTTTTGAGAAGGACCTGTATATGCCACTATTTATAAGTATAAATACATTTATTTACACTAGTACATAGTGTAAATAGAATCTATCGCTATTTTCTTTTGTGCACACCGACGCGAAAAATGGCACACCTAAAAGCATAAAGTTTTAAAAAAAGCGCCTCGAGTTCATTTTTTTGGTTTGGCGCGCCACGTCAAAAACTATCTGACCAATGAGATTGGCGCTTTTGCTCATGTGTCTGGTGCATCTGAAGTTACAGTAAAACACAACTTGGGAGCACTCAAGCACAAAACGGTCTTGCTGAGCACACATACGCTACGGCGAAGAAGATCTCCGCCACCGTCTACACTGCCGGAAGACGAGGAAGATACAAGGCAAGATATCTATGGGCAAGATGAATGTTGAGCTGCTGGTCTCTGAGCACAAAGAGCTATATGATAATATTTATATTAGTATTTCTGTAATAATAGTATAGTATACTATTATTATTTCTGTTTTACATTAAGCCCATCTAATTTCAGGGAATGAATTTGCATGTTCACTCAGCTCATAGTCAGCGAAAATGGCTTGGGTGTGAACACAAAAAACTCATTGAAAAACGCTGGCGAATAACGCGCGGTGTGTACGGGCCTTAATTCACAATGAAGTCACTTTCAATCCAAGTAGCTCACTACTGGTCAGAACAACAAATTCACATGACCAACTTGAACATGAGTAAAATCTGCATGGGCAACTTTTTCACCCTAAATGCGTAGATACCCATTGAAAGTACTGTAATTTGTCTGCAAGGGTAAATGTGACCGCATCTTAGTTGAGCAACAGCCATTTGAACCACATTGTTTTAACAGTATACAACAGTCCTTAATTACATCAATTTCGAATTTACTGTGTATGTATATATATATATATATATATATATACTCACCTAAAGGATTATTAGGAACACCTGTTCAATTTCTCATTAATGCAATTATCTAATCAATCACATGGCAGTTTCTTTAAAGAATTTAGGGGTGTGGTCCTGGTCAAGACAATCTCCTGAACTCCAAACTGAATGTCAGAATGGGAAAGAAAGGTGATTTAAGCAGGACTGGCATTTGAGCGTGGCATGGTTGTTGGTGCCAGACGGCACAATCTGCTCAGTTACTGGGATTTTCACACACAACCATTTCTAGGGTTTACAAAGAATGGTGTGAAAAGGGAAAAACATCCAGTATGCAGCAGTCCTGTGGGCGAAAATGCCTTGTTGATGCTAGAGGTCAGAGGAGAATGGGCCGACTGATTCAAGCTGATAGAAGAGCAACTTTGACTGAAATAACCACTCGTTACAACCGAGGTATGCAGCAAAGCATTTGTGAAGCCACAACACACACAACCTTGAGGCGGATGGGCTACAGCAGCAGAAGACCCCACCGGGTACCACTCATCTCCAATACAAATAGGAAAAAGAGGCTACAATTTGCCAGAGATCACCAAAATTGGACAGTTGAAGACTGGAAAAATGTTGCCTGGTCTGATGAGTCTGGATTTCTGTTGAGACATTCAGATGGTAGAGTCAGAATTTGACGTAAACCGAATGAGAACATGGATCCGTCATGCCTTGTTACCACTGTGCAGGCTGGTGGTGGTGGTGTAATGGTGTGGGGGATGTTTTCTTGGCACACTTTAGGCCCCTTAGTGCCATTTGGGCATCGTTTAAATGCCACGGTCTACCTGAACATAGTTTCTGACCATGTCCATCCCTTTATGGCCACCATGTCCCCATCCTCTGATGGCTACTTCCAGCAGGATAATGCACCATGTCACAAAGCTCGAATCATTTCAAATTGGTTTCTTGAACATGACATTGAGTTGACTGTACTAAAATGACCCCCACAGTCACCAGATCTCAACCCAATAGATCATCTTTGGGATGTGGTGGAACGGGAGCTTCGTGCTCTGGATGTGCATCCCACAAATCTCCATCAACTGCAAGATGCTATCCTATCAATATGGGCCAACATTTCTAAAGAATGCTTTCAGCACCTTGTTGAATCAATGCCATGTAGAATTAAGGCAGTTCTGAAGGCGAAAGGGGATCAAACACAGTATTAGTATGGTGTTCCTAATAATCCTTTAGGTGAGTGTATATACAGTATATAGTATGACATATATATAGATTGTACACCATGTTAGTTTGCTTATTTTACTAAAGGTCATGATCTAAAGGGCGAAGTCAAAATGTCATACTAACGATTTGGTTGAGAGATGTAGTTCCAAGTTTACGATGCTGTTTGTGAATGTTCGTTGGAATTAAAGTTTTGTTGGTAATGACAGAACTTACATACAGAACATACTTTTACAAAAACATTATTGTTGATTGATTGATTGACCATGGTGGCCCATCTCTGAGTTACCTGTGCATGTCTGGAAGCCGTTTTTCTAGGTTTCCTGTGTTCACATTCCATATGTACATGGCACCGTCCGCAGAGCCAGCTGCCAGGTAACTGCCATCCGGACTGAAATAGAGACAAAACTCACAATTGTGACTGATGACTACAGACTGACACACATTACTCTGGAACTTATATTCTCTTGCCGTATAAATCCCTCAGGCAAGTGATCTGATCAAATTCACTGAAATGTCAGGAACCTATACAAGACATATCCAAAGTCTTTTCCTAAACCAAGTGAAAGACCTTACAAGAATGCACTTTAAGGCATAGAAGCACTTTTTATTTTATGCTAAAATGATGCTGCCTTCAAAGATAGTAGTTTTGGTTAACATAGTTTTGGACAAATTGAATTGAAAATAAGATGGGGGACGGAGTCTATGAGAATAGAGTCCAATGTTGAGTGTTTCAAATCAGTTGAGGCTCCTTTTCAGACACGATGCCGTCTTAGAAGATTTCTGCCAATGTAAGAGCCATACAGTGTAGCCAATAACCATCTTGACACAATTTTCAAGGTTTTTTGCTCTATTCCACAACACTGACTTCAAAAGGTACCGTAAGCGATTTCAGCTTTTCTAACTTCTGCTAGACTCCATTGAGTCTCTCCATAGCCCGCCCTCCGAAGACATTTCCAAAAGAGCATTTCTGATTGGCCAATTTTATGATCGGCTGATTACAGAGTCTAGGGCTGTTTCTTAAATTCAAGAACGCAATAAACGGACTTGCTTTCTCGTGGAGACCGATCATACCAGGCGACCTTAAAAGAACAAATTCGGAAGGACGCGAGGATACAGATCACATCCTTGTAAGAATTGAGATGTGGTGCAGTCTTGTCCAAGACTGTCCCAGCATATTATAAGTATACTAATGGACAATTAATACAACATAACATCACAAACAAATGTCACAACATTAAAACATTTCTTTCTTTAGACAATATTTTTTATATACTTTTTATTTTAAGGCGTTCATTTGTAAAAATGCCTATGCTTTGTCTATGTTAAAATTATTTTTAATATGCCAATAAAAATACTGCAGGGTTTCTTTAGGCTGTTCTTTCACTTTATCAAAATTAAGCAAAAAAAAAATGGACATATGTTTACTTTCACAAGCTGTCACGTATTTGTAAGCTTGCAGTGGGAAGTGAGAACGAGAAGTTTAAAGCTTACTGACTTCTGTACGTCGACCGCCTGCAGTGTCTTCTGGGATTTCTACTTGTTCAATTACTAACGGTTCGATTATCTCAAGTCCTCGACCTCAAGAACACATCTGGGTACATTCATGCGTCCCCTCTACTTGCGTTCCAGAGTATTGAAATTGAACTTCGACGGTTAATGATAACAATAGTACGAGAACACAAGAATACAAGGTCGGTTAAGAACGCATATTGAAAAACAGCCTAGGTCTGTCACAGAGACAGGTGTGAGATCTTCAAAAAGAGAGATCTTCAGAAACATTTAACACTTTAGAAACATTTTAAAAATTGTACAGACCCCAAACCATTTGTGTATGTGTCCCAAACTGGCTGTAGCAACAGGCACAATGACGAAGATAAAGATCCAAGACAGTCTTGGATCCAAACAGAGGCAGGTAAGCAAACACAACCATAACATGGACGAGACTGGACAAATGAGTGCTGAAAACACAGGAACTTACAGCATATACACAGATCAACCAAGGTAATTAATAAGGAACAGCAATCAGTAACCATGGTGACAAACTCAGGTGGGAAAGCGGCAAAAAAACATGACAGAACCGTGACAGTACGCCCCCTCCGGAAAAGGTGCCACCTTGTGCCAACAGAGGAAGCTCTGGTGAAGGATGGGGAGCCAGGAAAGGTGTCAACTGATGAAACCAGGGTGGTGTAGAAGGTGAGAGAAGCCTGGCGGAATCCCAGAGCCCAGACAGGATGGAAACCCATGGCGGCGTCAAAAGAGGGAGGAGCCATGGCGCTGATTGATGGTGACAGATTCAATGGTGGTGGAGCTCCAGGCGCAGATAGAGAGCCGGTGGAACTGGGTTAATCTGAAGGCTTCAGAGGCCACGATGGAGCTGTAGCGATGAAACCCAGAGGTGGAACTGAGGTACTGGGGGGCTGAGGCAGAGCCATAGGGGTTGAGAACCAGAGCACTGCAGACGGCTCATTGGTCCGTGGCGCAGGATGGGTTATGTCTGACCGAGGTGGAGCTGGTGGTCCGAGAGAGTCTTGTGGAGCTGTATGGAGCTCCACATATCTTGTAAGGAGGAGCCAAGTTGGATGAGTCAGGGTGACGAGCCAAGGTGGAGCCAGGAGATTCATGCCCAGGAGTAGCTAGCTTACGAGGTAGATCCTGAGGATGCACAGGGGACAGCGGAGACTGGGAAGAAGGAAAGCCTACCATCTGAAGAGAAGGCTGGAGAGGGAGGCTGGGTGGGATCCAGTGACGTAGCGCAAATCCACGATGTGGAAATAACGTGTGCATGTGGAAACGGAAATGATGTGTGCAAAATCTAAATCACTGTCCATCATTTTGCAAGCAATTTTTGGTAAAGACATTTTTTGCACACTCTTGGAAATATTTTCATTTTAAACCCTTAAGGCAAGCCAGTGGATATCACAAAAGCGATGTGCAAACTTTGCTTTTGAGTTATGGCAGTGAAGAAGTCTCAAACCCCAGGCATATTTAAAAATATCCTCTCCAAATTCAAAGCAACTGTCCATAGACTCCAACAGAAACTCACTCACATTGGCGAGAGTTTGGGCGGGGTTCAAATACATTCCCTCGATCTCGACTAAAACTAAAATAGGAGTCTAACGGGCGGCGATAGACGATATTGCCGAGTCACACACCTGATAAGACTCACTGTGGTGCTTCAGCTCTAGGGCAATTGTTGGCGCAGTTATCCTCACAGGCTCCTCCATCATGGCAGGTGGAAAAACCCTGTCTGTGGATGGCTCTGATATTATCTCCATGCCTTGAGAGATTCTCCAGACTGCATAGGATGATCTCTCTCCATGTTGTCTAGAGCAGTAATAGTTAACCCCAATCCAAAATAGAGACTTCAGGGTTCCATCATCTAAGTTCACTCATTGGGCTAGTGTGCAAATGTGAATGAAATAATCCATGAATGAAAGTCCTCCCTGCCGAGTGAAGTGAAAGCTGTAGCATATTTCATATTTAAATTAATTTGTTTTAAGACGAAAATATTATGTCTGAATTAACCTGACCAAATCAGGATAAATCAACAAAAGTCATTTTTAAGGTCCAGAATAACTAGAAATAATAATGCTATGTGCAACAATTAGTTTGAGTGAAATACACTGTTTCCTAACGGCAGTGGACAGCTTAACAGAAAAGTTTTGGCCAATAGGGAAGATGTTGACTTATATGCTTGGCACAAGGGAAAATGTTGGTATTGATGAATGATAAAGCGACCATTAGGTTCCTGCTTGTGGCTCTCGCTCAAATGTTCATGCCAGATCTAGCTGTGAAAAAAAAGCCACAGAGCGTTCTGGCCTTGCTGTCTCCATGGAAACAGTGTATATGTCTATGCAGGGAGGTGCTAAAAAGACTCATCTGTAAGACTCAGTTCTCATCTTACATCATATGGAGCGTGTTGCATTTACTTTCTAACAATGCTGAGAAAATTGCAGGGTCAGACTATGCATAAGGACAAAGGCTGCAAAAGCTCTAGGATTATATAAAATACATCTGTAGTAATACTATAATAATAGTAATGTGTGGGTTTTTTTTAGGCCAGAAGCACAACAACAATCAAGTTTGGCAATGTAACCAAATCTACAGAGCAAAATAAAATAAAACAGATTTTGCATAAAGACTATGAATGTGAAATGTAAAAGTTAGATTCCAGATGTGAAAAAAAAAATTAAGAAAATCTTCAGGCCAGCGTGATTTAACCTTTGCATGATTGAAGAACTACACTAGCCATAAGAGAAGTCACTGTTACCATGGATTTGGAATTCGGGATAAAAAAGCAACTTCTAAAAAATACAGTGTAACTGAATCTCCCTACACTCTAAAACTACTTATATATTTGTCAATATTTTGCAGTAAACAAATAAACTAAAATATATTGAATTATATATAGATATATTGAAAAAAAAAACAATTATGTTTTTGTTGATATTTTGAACTACATTTTAGTTTTATATATATATATATATATATATATATATATATATACATATATGAAGAGTTCAGATGCAAAAACCTCTAAATGCCATTTAAATTTTTCTTCTTTAATGATGATTTTTATCAATCTTGTATATTTAAGTTCAGTAATTTCACTTAAATAACAATTAATAGGTAATTATCATTGCCATTTAAGTGAAATCACTGAACTTAAATATACAAGCTTGATAAAAATTATCATTCTAGAAGAAAATTTCAAATTGCACTTAGAGGCTTTTGCATCTGAACTCTTCATATATATATATATATATAGTTTTATATAAGTTTTTGTGTGGTTTTGTCATTTTATTAGCCGTTCTAAGGAAAATGACTGATGCATTAGGTCATGAAGTATGCACAAGCGCAAACCCTTTGACCTTAAGGAACCGAATAAACCAGACGATTCAAGCCTGGGTTCAAATCATAAATGTCTATAGAAAAGGCCAGCCTGACACATGCACAAACAATTAATAAATAAAATCCCAAGAGACGCACACTCCTTTCCCACGGAGTGGGTCCTTTTACCCGAGTAAAAAGCCACTGTATTCGAAGCCACGTACACCTTATGCCAAGTTCACACTACAGGATTTTAATCCCGATGTATGCCCGATTTGCAAAATGTTGAGCTCGCCGAAAGGTCAGAGTGTTATCGCGTGCAAATCGCGGGAGATTAGCGGACGATGAACGCTTGCCAATCTGTTAGTATGAAAGAGACAACAACGCAGCGAAAACGCTCGCAGACGCGTCGCCGAGCCCAGAAAAATATCTAGCCTGCTAGATATCCAGAGCCGTCGCGCGACTCAATCTCAGTGATGTCATGAGTACAGCCAATCATAGCAACGCAAGGGTTGAGGACACCAGGTCAATCTTAGTTTTTTTTTTTTTTTTTTGCATTTTTTTCAGAGCAGATCGTTGCGCAAACAGTGTGCAGCACTAGTTTCTGTCTGACATCCATATTCACGTGTTGTGTTCTCTTCTTCGCTGGGTATTGGCGCACGTGCTGTTTCGCGTCATTTCTGGTTCGTTTTATTGCTGGTTTTTCGTGACAAAACGTGATTTGTAGACAAGATAGAATCGTTGGGTGACAGAGTTATTGTCAACTCGTTATTTATTTGATTATTTTCAGGATTTAGACCGTAACATTACTGAAACAGCTCTCATTAGAGTCACAAATGATTTGCTCTTATCATTCGATCGTGGTTGTATCTCTATATAGAGCGTTGTCAACTCGTGTAGTGAGTTACCTCCTGTTGTGGATCAATCACGTTGTGTTGTGTGGTGTGAACAGTTAAGCAACTTGAACACTCCTGATTTCACTGAGAGCAAGTCATGTAGTGTGAACCGCACAGTTCAGCCCGACATTTTAAAATCATGTAGTGTGAACTAGGCTTTAAATGTAGAAGGGGATAACCCTGCTGAGAGATGCTCTTACAATAATTCCAGCACAGAACCAACTGTGCAGTCCTGGCTCTGTACGGTAGTGCATACCATGGATTTGTTGATAAGGGGCTGGTCTACATCTCGAGCTAGGAGTCAAATATAATGGCCGTCCTGGTTGGAGTCTCCCAAGGAGAGGCCATGTCTGCACCATGGCATACCAGCCTTAACAGAGCAGGAGGAACCCAAAGGCCAAGACTTTTTAGGCTTTTTACCGTTACCTGAGAGTACCTGAGATCCAGAAATACAGCCTTCATCATCTCAAGGCAATTTATTTGCCAAAAGAGATGTCTTCCCAAACCCCTAGGGCTGGGTGACCATCCAGAATGGCACCTCATCTTGTAAGGGAGAGATAGTAGTCAATGTCTTGCGATGACAATATGCCCCCTGTGGGAACTGGCGAAGGCCTCTGCGTGTTGCCCTTATCTTCTTCAAGGGGTTGCACAATAAGTAGAACCCCCTGCTTTTTAGCTAGAAATGAAATGTTCTCATGTACAGCAGCCCCAAAGGTATCACATTGATGGCAGCTATTAAAGGAAGGGGAACATGTTCTATGGCCTCTTTTGCTAAAAGAGAGTGCAATTCCTTTCTCAATAATGTAACCTGCTCTTGCTTCACTATAGTGGGGAGCACACCATTGAATTGAGGACGAAAGTGCTTACAGAGGAAAGAAGCCTTGAAGGTGAATATTCTGAAGTCTGTGCAAAAGATCCTGGCAAAGCATTTCATTTCTGGCTAAAAAGCAAGGGTTTCCACCCACTGTGCAACCCCTTAAAGAAGATAAAGGGAATGGAATTGTCTGTGAAGTCTGACCTCTGACCTCCTTTTGTGGTTTCATCCACATGGGAAAACTTGGTAGTCCTTAGGACTTTACGATCATACACACTTGTGGATGTGAATAAAAGAGAACTGAGTTTCTGATTGGCTGAAGCAAACTGCTGACAGGCATTCAAGAAGTATGGCAAGGTGAGCACTAATGCCTGAGGCATCCTCTTTGGAGGGAACTCCACGCTGAGTCTGATGGGCCATACTTAAAAATGCCTTTCCTAATGTGAAACTCTCTGGGCACAACTCGACGAGAGCACCTGAGACCTTGATGTGAAGTTCAGGTCCAGGCTACAAAACCTGATAAATGTGTGCAAGGAAGACCAGACTGACTGAAAGGACTTGCAAGTATCCTACGCTCTTAAAGGATTAGTTCACTTTTGAAAAAACGTTTGCTGATAATTTACTCACCCCCATGTCATCCAAGATGTCCATGTCTTTCTTTCCTCAGTCGAAAAGAAATTAAGGTTTTTGATGAAAACATTCCAGGATTTTTTTCCATATAATGGACTTACATGTGAACCAGACGGTCCGAGGTCCAAAAGACAGTTAATAACAGTTTCAGATGCAGCTTCAAATGTCTTTAAACGACACCAGACGATGAATAAGGGTCTTATCATGCGAAACGATCGGTTATTACTAAACTAATTCCAAAAATGTAACTTTTCTAAGGACAAATGCTAGCCTTGCTCTATTCTGTGAGGCGCGTTTGTAACGTCACGTAATACGTAATTACGTTCAAAAGGTCACGGGCGACGTAGCCGGAAGTACAGAATCAAAATCGTACGACATCGTCGTTTTACCTTTTAATTCCTTTTTTGTAAACGGCGTTTGAGTTAGTTTGCACGTACAACCTATGCGTTCAACTTATAAACACTCTGACTCTGTACTTCCGGCTACGTCACCCGTGACCTTTTGAGCGTAATTACGTATTACGTGACGTTACAAACGCACCTCACAGAATATAGCAAGGCTAGCATTTGTCCTTAGAAAAGTTACATTTTTGGAATTAGTTTAGTAATAACCGATCGTTTCGCATGATAAGACCCTTATTCATCGTCTGGTGCCGATTAAAGACATTTGAAGCTGCATCTGAAACTGTTATTAACTGTCGTTTGGACCTCGGACCGTCTGGTTCCCACTGAAGTCCATTATATGGAGAAAAATCCTGGAATGTTTTCATCAAAAACCTTAATTTCTTTTCGACTGAGGAAAGAAAGACATGGACATCTTGGATGACATGGAGGTGAGTAAATTATCAGCAAAAGTTTTTTTCAAAAGTGAACTAATCCTTTAAGGGAAGTAATAGCTAGCTGAAAGTCTTTAAAATGAGAAACATCTCCAAAAGTCCAAGAGTCCAAGAGCTCGAAGCTTGCCAGAGATAACCCTTCTAGAACCACGGCCAGATCCCAGGTCAGAACCCAACCTCAAAGTGCCACGAAGGAAAAGAGTTAAGTGGTGTCTCCCCAAAGTCCCATCACCTGAGGATGCATGGAAGGCAGCTATGGCCTTCATTTAGTCCGTAAGCGTGGAAGCGGAAGCACCGGGTCTGACTGAAAAACTATCATGGATGAACTCCAGCACTGAAGCCACTGGGCAGTTAACTGGGTCCAACTGTTGTTCACTGCACCATAAAGTGAATATTCTCCACTTTCAGGTATAAAGTTTTCTTGTGAAGGGAGCTCTAAAGTTTAGGATGTTCTCAAAAACCTCAGTTTAGAGAAAGTATGTTGATCTCCCTCAGGGCCAAACCCACAGTTTCCACATCTCCGGCCAGGGGTTGAGGATATTGAGGAAAATATTACCCCAAATGTTTCAACCGTAATATTATACTTAAAGCAACACCAAGTAACTTTTCCTCTGTGGTCCCCCTACAGGTGGGAAGCTGAATTGTCCATTACCGCTGTTGTAAATAATTTAGCCTACATTGGAATGAACAATGTCCACAGACAAGATAGAGTACTGTATGTTGCATGATTTCTAGGGCTGTGCAAAAATTAATTGCGATTAATCGCATCCAAAATAAAAGTCTGTGTTTACATAATATATTTGTGTGTGCTGTATATAATTATTTTGTATATATATATATATATATATATATATATATACCTATGCATGCATGTATATATTTAAGAATTATGTGTATATATATATATATATAAATACATAATCTATATTATATAAATATAAATATTTTATATATGAATAACACATTTTCTTCAATATATACATGCATGTGTGTGTATTTATATATACAAAATAATTATATACAGCACACACAAATACAGTATATTATGTAAACACAGACTTTTATTTTGGATGCGATTAATCGCAATTAATTTTTGCACAGCCCTAATGATTTCATGAAAGTATGATGTATTGTGACATCAGAAATGAAAAAAAAACAACAACAAAATAATGACTATTGTAACGCTTGATGTAAAGCAAGTCAAATTTGTAGTTTTCTTATATCTCATTAGAACTACAGAAACGCGACCCGATCTGGCACTCTTACATAGCGTGGTTATAGCAGATATTGGATCATAAAGCGAATCCAGAAGTGCCTTTCACCCGGTTACGACTTAACAAACCACTGAAACGATTTTGTAAACTTTAATTTAAGGTAAAAAAAAATCTTACTTAGTGTTGCTTTAATATAATTTATAATATAATCATATATTTTTCCTTAGACTACAGTCATCTTAAATAGGTTTAATTTTCATGTTAAACGTATATTTTAATATTTTCATTTTGAGGTGAAATATTACCTCCACAAGTTTTGTGAGATTCACTTAAAAATATTATGTCAAATATAATATAACACCACAGCCAGAATCATCTAGATTTTTACTTGAGAGAAAATAAGATGTGAGTCCTGCTGAAACTAGAACGTGACAAATGAAATCCATCTCACCAGATATCTTTACTCAGAGGGACAGGGTCTTTACCCGTTCATTACAGTAGCAGGATTGGATTTTCCATCTATGTGTAAATCCACATGACCTCTCCAATGAAAAAAAAGTCAGGGTTGGCGTAGATGCCAGAAGCGCTCGACAGCACAGTGGTACGTTTCAGGGGTTGTAAGCATCACGACGCATGCTTTCTCAAATGAGACACGGACACGTCCTATTCTTGCTTAGACGGTGGTCTGCAAACTCCATATTGACAGATGGCTAGCGACTGCTCATAGCGTCCTTTTTGATGTCACTCACCTGAAGATGGCCTTGGTGCTGTCACTTCCACATTTGAAGCCCTCTGCTCTGAATCAACAACGACAAGCAACAAAAAATGAAAATTCTTGAGTGTTCTGTAAACTGAACAACAAAACGAATCACGAATAGAGCTCATTCAGCTTTATACAGTGAATATAGTTTTTAGATGCTTCCGGACCCTGAATAAAATCTTTTTCAGTTTTATGTGGGGTACGCAGTGCATAACCTCGTCTCAGATGTGTGTTTCTACCTGAAGGCCACCCTGTCGTTACTCTTTCTCAGGTCAACCAGCTGCAGGACGTCGTCCCGGGAGCAGCTGAGCAACTGCCTGTGGTTAGGGCAGAGGTCCAATGATGTCCCGATGCCCTGAAGAGGCACTTCCTGCGTGCAGGTCGCTGCCCTACGGAATACAGACATGGACTCATCAACCAAATTTCATTATATTTTATTTATGTTACCATTTATGTTATGAGATTTCTGCTAATAAGTTTACCAACCACTTGCAGAATATGCAAGATGTTAACAATATTAACAAAATAAGAGGGATCATAAAAAAAGGCATGTTCATTCTTTTTTTAATACTGTCCTGAACAAGCGGTTTCTCAAATCAAATGTTAACAAATAGTCCATGCAAAAAAAAGGCAAAATAATAACTTTATTTGCACAAATAAATCATTTAAAACGTTGACATACCCTTGACAAGTAACCCCGATCATCCAATTCAAAAGGTTTACATGTGTTGGCTCTTAAAGGAGTAGTTCACTTTTAAAAAAAACTTTTGCTGATAATTTACTCACCCCCATGTCATCCAAGATGTCCATGTCTTTCTTTCTTCAGTCGAAAAGAAATTAATGTTTTTGATGAAAACATTCCAGGATTTTTCTCCATATAATGGACTTCAATGGGAACCAAACGGTTCAAGGTCCAAAAGACAGTTTCAGTGCAAACTGCAAAATGTTCAAAGTGCTTTAAACGATTCCAGACGATGAATAAGGGTCTTATCAAGTGAAACGATCACTCATTTAATAAATAAATAACAAAGTTTAAGTTTTAAAAGCTCAAATACCCACCTTGCTCTGTTCTGTGATGCTCTGTTCGTGACTCTCCTGTTTGAACTCGTTTATCAAAATGAACAAATCTTTTTTCGTGTCATTTGGTTCATTCAAAGAACGAAATGAACGAATTGACTCGAATTTTGATGAACGAGTTCAAACAGGAGAGTCACGAACTCACATTACTTTAAAAAAACTTTTTTAAATGAGCGATCGTTTCGCTTGATAAGACCCTTATTCATCGTCTGGAATCGTTTAAAGCCCTTTGAACAGTTTGCAGTTTGTACTGAAAGTGTCTTTTGGACCTTGAACCGTTTGGTTCCCATTGAAGTCCATTATATGGAGAAAAATCCTGGAAGGTTTTCATGAAAAACTTTAATTTCTTTTCGACTGAAGAAAGAAAGACATGGACATCTTGGATATCATGGGGGTGAGTAAATTATCAGCAACATTTTTTTAAAAGTGAACTACTCCTTTAATGCATATTCTGCAAGGGAACTTATGAGGAGAACTGTGCTTTTATTTTTTTTAATTTCTCATTTTTAATTAGAGCAGCATTTGTAAAGTAGCTAATGTCTTCAATTAAAAATTGTTGTATTTTTAATTTTCTGTAGGAGGCAGCCTCTTTTTTATAGGGCTGGAAAAAATAATGCGGTAACACTTTATTTCGATATTCCACTTTAGACATTCTACTAACTATAAGAAACTTTTCAACTACATATCAACTAACTGTCATTACAATATTAGTAGACTGCTAACACTTTATTTTGTTGGTCCCCCAACAAACATTCAACTGACTATAAGTAACTTGGCGACTACAAGTAAACTTAACCATAACCATAACCTAACAGTCTACTGAAGTCTACTATAATATACTAATACTCTAATGAGAGTTAGTTGAGACGTAGTCGAAAAGTTACTTACGTCTAAAGTGACTATCAAAATAAAGTGTAAACATTTCTGTTATTTCAATTTGGTTTTTAACAATTTAAAAAAACGTCTCGGTTACGTACAGTATGTAACCCTCTTTCCCTGAAGAAGGGAACGGACACGTTACGTCAGAACGGAACTGACGAATGGGGATCTCGCCAGAGAGCCTAATCACCTTCGAGTGTAAACTAAGTTTTAGTTTAGTTTTTTAACATTAGTTTTCACTTCAATTAAAAGTTATGCTATTTTCGGTTATTTTTAAATATAAAACAATCAAACTATACTTATAATTACTCGTTTTAATCGACACAAAAACATGGCATTTATGTCTATTAAAGGACACCACAGTGTTTTCTGTTTGGGAAAAGTGACACTAGTTGTCATTATTGCCATCTGCCCTCATATTATTTGCGTATTGCATATTAGGACAGATCAGGCACCGTGATGCTGAAGGCGCACCTGAAAGCCTGAAATCTGTCAACTGTGGCTCTCCGTCGAGTTTAAGCAACCTGCTGTCATGGTAGTTTGTCTCATTAGACTATGAGTGATGGACTTAATAAGACAAGAGAGACGACTGCAGATGTGCAGCCCGAGGTCTCAGTCTGCTCTTTCCTTTTATATGCCAACCAATAATCATTTGGACACGGATAAGCCGGAGAAAGCTTTGGAATCTCAAGGCCTTTAACCAGAGGAGCCTCATCTTTCTAAACGCGTTGCACAAGACAATGATTTGAATTTCAATAGCAGAGACAGGCATTAGTGTTTATTGCCTCTTAAAGCGGCATGCGATCTTGTGTGCAGGCATATTATATACGAGTGAACACGTCTGTCATTAAATTGACACTTGGAAGTAACTCTTCTCTCCAAAAGATTAAAAAAGGGTCAACGCATTGCATGGAGAAAAACGCAAATGTCATAATATTGCACAAATCCCATTACAACAAGATGAGAGGAGAGACAATTATGTGGGCTGACAGTTGCTAGGAGACGAGCGAGCCGTCGGCTCCTTGGCAGCTGAAAGCTGTGGTTGCTGCGAGTGAATGAAAGATGTCAAGGACTGAGACATGGTGTAAATGATGGCTCTTTTTCTACCTCTGTGGCGTCATCTATGTTTGTAAGTTTCGCGAATTACGCTCGTAAGAGCACAACTTCGCTGGACCGCTATTATTTTACATCTCTTATCTAATCCGAGCAATCGAAACCCACTGAGATGCTGAATAACCAGGGTTATGCAACAAACGCTCCGTATTATTACAGGGTGGCTTCGACTGCTACAAGGTGATTTTCAAAGCAGCCTTATTCAAGAAAACCCGACCAGCTCCAGTGTGACAAGATTTATGCAACAACATGAATATTTCTAGGCGAATGATGTAAGCTGTTGTTACAGCATCACTGTAATGAATCAGACACCTGTTTGCTCTTACACAAGCAGAGTCAGATTTTAACAAATATAACACCTTGCCCAGTTGAAAAATTTGTAATTATTACACAAATGTTACAGTATGTTTAAATATGCAACTGAGACACTATTAGGGTTGGGTATCGAGAATCGAGTATCGATTGGAACCGAGACTAACTTTTCGTTTTTCCCGGAATCGTTCAAAAGTTAAAATTTCGATTCCTAGTTTCGATATTCACAGTCCGCCGAGCGGAAGAAGAAACCGCTGAACAACACCAACGAAGAAGCGTCTACCGGAAGTGTTGGCATAACCACGCGAGTCGAACATGAGTACCTTACGTCAGCGATCCAAAGTGTGGCTTCACTTTTCTAAAAATAACGAAATCTCGGCAAAATGCTAAATTTGTGAGAAAAGGAGTATTTTTACAGAAGGAGTATTTCCTTCAGAAAGGCCGTTGGTTAGCAAGGTTAGCTAAACTTTTTTGACCCTGCCTCTTAAAAGAATCGGAATCGAGAATCGTTAGGAACCGGAATCGAAACAAGGAATCGGAATCAGAATCGTTCAAATTCAAACGATACCCAACCCTAGACACTATATCATTAAAAATGCACTAATTTGCATACTTTTCCAGAACAAAAATCTGAACATTGGGTAAAGCGAGTTCTTACAGAGGGATTTTGGATATCTCGTTTTATTACTTCATAAATCATGAACAGCCTGAAAACAAAATTATCCATGTTTTTTTAGGAATAATGTATTCTGTAAATCAGGCGAATGATACATGAAGACATGTAAAAACCTGTGTAAAGTCTGGTGTACGTAAGTGAGTTTTGGCTCAGTGCGTGCGGGAGGCAAAAACTGATATGTTTTGTAATAGAAATCTACAGATGCAAATTGATAGTGTAGCAAATAAACACTTAAATATGTCTTTTGGATCTTTTCTTTCCACTTGTCTGACGATGATAAAATAAATCTAAAATAGCCCATAATAACCAGTGCATGAAATAAATATTACTTTTCCTCATAGTAAAGTACTCTTCCACAACGGTGGCTCTATTCTTGGCTTGCATGTGTTGTTGACATTCAGATTAATATTTGTTGTTGTGGACTTGTTTTGCATGAAATGTCCATGTTATGGCTAGACGTCACGTCACTTTCAGAGTAGACCATCGATTATAATGAGCAATGTGGTTTTGTCATGTTGAGTCACAAAGTGCAATGTGCTTTTTGATTCACACAATTCTAAGAAAGGGAGAGTGTATTTGTCACCAAGCATGCGTGTGCACAAATTCGTGCGTGAAATCTGCGTAACGTTTTCACGAATAAATCATCATTCACCTAACACAAAAATGTATTGTAAATATTCTAACAAATGAAAACACATGTGCGCAAAAAGCCCTTACAATATAATATAATATAATATAATATAATATAATATAATATAATATAATATAATATAATATAATATAATATAATATAATATAATATAATATAATATAATATAATATTTACAACGATTTGTTGAGGTTCTCGATTCTGAATTATGTGATATTCTACCTTGTTTCTCTGCTTGTATCATCACTCTATTTGCAGCATTTCTCACAGGAGCAAACCATCATCAATTTACAAATACTGCTGTTGTTGTGCCACGAAATGTAGTTTTAAAAGTTTGTAGGCGATAATTACGTTATTGTGATGTATATATAAACATAGCGCATTTTTGACAATTTGTTTGGACGTTTTCCAAGATGTGGGTTTCATTCGGAAATTAGCCTTGGGCTCTTATGTAGACTTTAGAGTGTTAAACATGGAATACAGTATTATTGAACTTGAATCCCATAGTATAACTGGTGCTGCATATGTACTTTTGACTGAACTGTTTGCTTGTGTCTATTTCCTACACAGCAAAAACTCCAGTGTTAAATTAACTCTCCTGGGGGTTTATATGACTCTACACTCAAGAGTTTTAAATTAACTCTGAAGCAGTGTTAAAGTTAATGACATAATTAAGTGATTAAGTGATGATTGACCAACATTGAAGACACCTGATGTTAACAAGTAGAATCACTGAAGGTGAAAAATCACAATTTTAAGTCACCATTATGGGGATCAGTGTTTGCTTCAGTTGGGCAGTTAACCCTTACATTTTTTATTTCAGGTTTTGTTCAGCTGTTGTAACAGCGTTATAACTGCCAGATGAAGAAAGAGAAAAGATGACCTGATGGTGTTGGTTATGTTTTAACATAATCACCATTTGACCTGAATCACTGAACTAATCTATATTGTTTATTACAGCATCACAGTGATTCTACAGTGTAAGATCCAGATTTTTTTTATACAATTCAAAAGTTTCCTTAAAAGTTGTTCTGATAAAACAAGAATTTCTTTTAGGCACTCACAGACATCAGTGTATGAATCTCAACAATGGTGACAAACCGAATATTCAATTAGGAAAAGGAAATTACTAAGACAATTAAGATCATAATTGATTTATACTGCAATACATGATGAGAGCCATGAATGAGGTTTGACTGGTGGAGCCCATAATGCACTTCAACATGGTTTATTATTGTCACTATTGTTGATCACAGGCTGATTATTGATGTTAGTGTGTCTAAATAAAAAAAAAATTCAAACTCTTTTGATCAGAACAAATTTTAAGAAATATTTTGGATTAAATTGAAAGAGCTGGAAAATGTTTGCTATACAATTATAGTGTTGCTGGTATCAACTAGGTAAATCAACTAGGTTTTATGATTCTAGTCAAACGATGATTATGTCAAACCATAACCAACACCACCTGATAACCTTTTATCTTAGTTCATCTGGCAGTTGTAACTCAGTTCCAACAGCCAAACTAAATCTATTTGTTAATAGTTTAAGGGTCAAGAGGCCAGCTAAAGCAAACAAATATCACCATAATGGTGACTTCAAAAATGAGATTTTCTCCTTCAGTGATTCTGCTTGTTAAAATCAGGTGTCTACAGTGATGGTCATTTATAATTCAATTAATCACTTAATTAGCTCATTAACTTTAACACACTTGAGTGTTAATTTAACACTCATATTTTATTGAGTCTGAAGCCAAATAAATTCCCAGGAATTTATATATGTTTTACAATAAATAAGGTTTTATATAATTAACATGCAGTATTTGGTAATGAGAAAGGGTTTGTAGTGATTGTGATTTCAACTTCAGTGAAAGTTACATTATTACACCGTTAGATTGTAGCAAAGACTGTCTTTAAAAACTGATTTCGTGTTAGCAAGTGTGTATATATATTACAGTTTAAATCGATTTTTTTACATCACGGTATGAAAACTGGGGAGGAAAAAATGCTTATTACTTGTCGTGAACAAAACGGTTTCATTTTCCTTATAAACAAAATTCAGTTTATTCAGTTTTGAGCTGATATATGCCTATTGAAGGGATAGTCCATCCCCCAAAATAAAATCTCATAATGCAAATATTTGGAACTTTTTTTTCAATTATAAGCCATCATTTCCATCTAAACGTCCAACACATTCACCAGAGGGTTTACGAGTCCGCATCATTTCTTGTGCAACCCTCACAATGTGCTCACATTTACACCAGTGTAAACTCAACCATCTTGTGAACATGGCCTATGATGGTTTATAGTCAAAAAGTTTAAACATTAGTACCTATCATTTGCTTTCAGAAGACAGAATTCATCCACTAGGGTCTTATGTCATGATGGTCTGTATGTACTTTGAGGAGCATGAACATTTGGGAACCCATTCACTTACATTATATGGACTCACAGAGATGTATTATTTGTCTAAAAATCTTCTGTGTTCATCTTAAGAAAGAATGTCATACATACGGACCATCCCTTTAAAGAATCATGTTTTTGACTGAACTAAAAACATCAAAACATCATCTGGAAAATGAATTCCCTGCAGATCAGCACGAACGCCTTAGAGCATCAGCTGTCAACACGTGTGGAAGACGTTTCTGTCTGAACGACTGTGGAGAAGCCAATCTCACGCATTACCGCCAAAGCGTTAACAAGCCGTCTCTCGCCAGCGATGACACCACACACACCTGAGGCGACGCTCTTTTAGGTCACTGTCCTAGCCTGACACGTGGTGACAGACAGCAAGCACTGCCAGCTGAGTTCATTATACACGTTTAATTGCACCAACTCCACTCGAGTCAGTCCTGGAAACCTGGACGGTTGCTGTGAAAAGCACTATAGTGATCAACACATTTATGATCTGAAGGTTTTTTACATTGCTACAAAGCCATCAAACCATCGCTTGTTTAACAAATCCACCTTCAACGATACATTTCAAAGGCTATTACTCTCGGACAATAAAAAAATGTTAATAGCTGGACTGTGTCTTTACACATGGCAGCAATATCCGTCTCAGGTTATCTGATAACACGTGCTTACAAAAGAATAATAACAAGTGATAACAGTGTTTACACCACAGATGCTATGTCACATGCTTTACCTCCAAATATACACAACCAGTCAAAAGTTTTGGTTCGGTGTAAGGACTCTGCCAGGCGACTGCAGATGGCTCGATCATAAATGAATCCCCACAAATATTATTCTGACAATTGAGCCGATTCATTTTTTTCTGTTTGTAAAACGTGATCTGTGTAATTAATTGCAATCAACGTGTGGTACATCAACGTGTGATTTAATAACATGCAAGACTGGTCTGATCCAAACCTGTATGAATAATTATTAATTATCAATTATTAATTATGATATGCAAATTCCCAATGATCAGACCCGCCCTTGAGTCTTTACATCGGTAAGATTTAAAATATTTGTAAAAGAAGTGTCTTCTACTCAACAAGGCTGCATTTATTTGATTCAAAAAACAAAACAAAAACAAAAAAACGATTTATTGTAAAATATTATTACAATTTAAAACAGCAATTTTATTATGGGAATTTATAGTAAAGTGTAATTTAGAAGGAAATTTGGGAAATAAATAAAATAAATCAATAATCTTATTCATCGAGGCTGAATTAAATTGATCAAAAGTTACAGTAAAGACATTTATAATGTTACAAAAGATTATATTTCAATTAAATGCTGTTGTTTTGAACTTTCTATTCATCAAAGAATCCTGAAAAAATTGTACATAACTGTTTTGCACATTGATAATCATAATTAATGTTTTTTGAGCATCAAATCATCATATTAGAGTGATTTCTGAAAGATCATGTGACACTGAAGACTAATGATGATGAAAATACAGCTTTGATCACAGGAATAAATTACATTTTAAAATAAATTAAAATAGAAACCATTTTTTTTTCCATAATATTTAACAATATGACTGTTTTTGTATTTTTAATCAAATAAATGCAACCTTGTTGAGCAGAAGAGACTTATTTTAAAAATATATTTATAAAATATAAAAAATAATATAAAATTTTGAAAGGTAGTGTAGTTTGGGAAATCCAAATGTACAAAGAAGGATGTACTGTAAACCAGGTGGGAAGTAAATCAGAACACTTGCTTTTTCTGCTTTGCGCTCAAGGATGCATTCAATTTCTATGGAAGCTTCCACAATGTAAAAAAAAAAAAAGTAATAATGATTTTTTCTCAATATTTGGAGAAACTTTTTTTCTGAGTTTAAACCTTCCAAATGAAAACATAAACATAGTCCTAAACATATCTACCTCTAAACCTAACCATGGCCAACCCATAACATTTCTCTAAAACCAGAGGGAAATGATAGTGAATAACACTGATGTAGAAGCACATAACTGTGGTTGTAAGCCTAAACTTGACATAAACTGTAAACTCGTCCCTCAAATCTGATTGGTTGATTGTAAAATCACTTTCTCTGTAGCCATTTACACATGCTGTCGGTTTAAAAAGCCATACGTAAAGTGCAAGACAGCAAATATTAACCACACTTTAGACCAATAGTCAAAGTCTAGCTACGTCAGACTATCATGAGCATGATCATTTTTTGTATGTGGTTAAAAGGATGTGTAGGTAACGGGTGGTGTTGTAATTGCCCCGTTCTTACCTGCTGTCCCAAAACCGTAATTTTCTGTCATAATGGCTACTGATGATAAGGTACTCGGAGCACACAACGTCACTACAGAAAGACAAAACCTCAATGGTTTGTATGCCTGTAAGCAGTGCAGAGAGAATGATGAAATTAGTACCTGATCTGTGGTAATATGTTGAGCAATATATAGCAGACTCAAGTCTCATTGTTAATGCGTGAGCGATTTGTTATATATTATGTACATACACGCTGCTCGCTGGAGGTCCCATATCTTGACGGTCCTGTCCGCACTGCCCGTGACCACCTGCCTCTGGCTGTATTTAAATTTGGCTGCCGTCACTTTACGAGAATGACCCGTCAATGTAACCTAACAACAAGGGCAAAGTACTTCTTAATGAGAGCTTGAACAGAATTTCCATGACATATTCCAGCCAAAACTAAAAGAAATAAATCATTTCAATTTCATGACAATTTAATTATTTATATTGTAATTAGAATGATTTATGAAGGATCATGTGACACTGAGGTAATGGTAATAAATTACAATAAAAAACACTTTAGATTTGAGGGTGAAATGGAGAGATTCAGCCAAACATTTACTTCCTTTCTCTCTGTCTCTCTCTCTTACACACACAGTGATACAATTTTCAATAAAACGAAGAACAATTTTGCCATTTTATCTGAATGCTAAGCGCATTTTCTCAAAGGATATGATGTTTCTCATTGCTCTATCAAGACTCCCGATGGAGTGTTTCTTTAAATTTGTGCAAATAAAAACATAACATTAACAAAACATTATTACAGTCATGTTTGACCCAGTTCTTAATGTGTCACTTTTTCATTTGTCCTCTTTATTGTCTCACTTTCTGTCACGCTAGTAAGGTTTTTATAGGACATATGGGTCATTCCTGTTATACATTTTGAACTATGTACCTTATAAAAAATATAATTAAAGAAAACATTTCTATATAAGTGCATATCAGAATCCCAGGCACCTTTTCACAAAATGTACCTCTGTGATCACATGATTGTTACATGATTTCCACCTTTAAAACTTGTGAGATTAGGCTAATATTATACTCCACTTTTTTTGGAAATAGGCTCATTTTACAACTCCCCCAGAGTTAAACAGTTGGGTTTTACCGTTTTTTGATGTATTCAGACGATTTTCTGATATTTAGAAGAATATCAGTAACCAGACAGTTTCTGGTCTCATTGACTTCCATTTCCTACTATGGAAGTCAATGAGACCAGAAACTGTCTCGTTACTGATATTCTTCTAAATATCAGAAAATCGTCTGAATGGATTCAAAAACGGTAAAACTCAACTGTTTAACTCTGGGGGAGTGGTAAAATGAGCCTATTTCCAAAAAAGTGGAGTATCCCTTTAAGACATACTGTATCTGGGCCAATGAAAATGTTCTTTCGAATGTTTGCCTCAAAAATGATGAGAGAAGCTGATTCCTCCACATAAAACTCTCCCATGCACGCCTCACTGTCATGTAAAACACAATGCAACCCACAGCAATACACATCTTTAAAAGGGTTCATCCTGGTCCGTCTCATCTGGTGGTGCTCTAGAGTAATGCAGAGAGACAGACTAACCCACGGGAGGTTTGGGTGGGTAAGAGGTGGGAAGCTCTGTTACCTTGGGAACGCTGTCCTCGATCCTCCAAAATAGCGCTGACTTGTCATATGACGCAGCTAAAATCCGAGTGCCCTGATGGAAAAGCACAGTGACACATCCCACAATGCATTAGCACAGTAACCAACCACAGCATAATCTACTCAACAGCCTTACCGGAACAGTATCCTTATATTACTGACAAAGAGGCTCTTACAGTCCTACCAGCTCATTGGTACGTGCTAATTAACAATGACTCAGAGAAGTCATCTGGAATGCTCTTCAGCTCATCTAAATACGAAATTTTTTCGTATTCGTGATTCGATGGCTCTGAATTGTCAAAACACCATTCAAACTGCTTGCTACGGATGCGAAAAAACACAGAAAATCAAACCCGATTTTTTTCATGACGGACGAAAGTGTCGGAGGCAGTGTGCAAGCGTGATTGACATAACATGAGGTCGTATTTATTTTTTAACGTGCGACATTTTCGGATGTCAGTTTTGGACTCAGTGTGAAGGGATACTCCACTTTTTGTGGAAATAGGCTTATTATACCAACTATGGAAGTCAATGGGACCAGAAACTGTCCGGTTACTGATATTCTTCTAAATATCAGAAAATCGGCTGAATGGATTCAAAAACGGTAAAACTCAACTGTTTAACTCTGGGGGAGTTGTAAAATGAGCCTATTTCCAAAAAAAGTGGAGTATCCCTTTAAGAGTCGCTGATTGGTCCTATCGATGAGTCTTTTCTATATGCAACCTTGTTTTTCTTGCGCCCTCCTCCTCCCCAGCACCACCTGTCGAGATCTGTTACCGGACTCTCTGCACTTTGTGTCCTGATCCCTGTAATTCTGCGCATGTTTCAGCCGTAAGCCTTCGCTTAGATCTAGTCTGACAATATCCAACCTACACTCTAATCTAATAACAAAATGCTAATAAAACCCATTGTGAGAGTTGTTTTGACTTAAAGGATTAGTTCACTTTTGAAAAAACTTTTGCTGATAATTTACTCACCCCCATGTCATCCAAGATGTCCATGTCTTTCTTTCCTCAGTCGAAAAGAAATTAAGGTTTTTGATGAAAACATTCCAGGATTTTTCTCCATATAATGGACTTCAATGGGAACCAGGTCCAACCGAGGTCCAAACGACAGTTGATAACAGTTTCAGATGCAGCTTCAAATGTCTTTAAACGACACCAGACGATGAATAAGGGTCTTATCATGCGAAACGATCGGTTATTTCAAAACTTATTCCAAAAATGTAACTTTTCTAAGGACAAATGCTAGCCTTGCTCTATTCTGTGAGGCACGTTTGCAACGTCACGTAATACGTAATTACGTTCAAAAGGTCACGGGCGACGTAGCCAGAAGTACAGAATCAAAATCGTCTGACATCGTTGTTTTACCTTTTAATTCCTTTTTTGTAAACGGCGTTTGAGTTAGTTTCCACGTTCAACCTATGCGTTCAACTTGTAAACACTCTGACTCTGTACTTCCGGCTACGTCGCCCGTGACCTTTTGAACGTAATTACGTATTACGTGACGTTGCAAACGCGCCTCACAGAATATAGCAAGGCTAGCATTTGTCCTTAGAAAAGTTACATTTTTGGAATAAGTTTTGAAATAACCGATCGTTTCGCATGATAAGACCCTTATTCATCGTCTGGTGTCGTTTAAAGACATTTGAAGCTGCATCTGAAACTGTTATTAACTGTCGTTTGGACCTCGGTTGGACCTGGTTCCCATTGAAGTCCATTATATGGAGAAAAATCCTGGAATGTTTTCATCAAAAACATTAATTTCTTTTCGACTGAAGAAAGAAAGACATGGACATCTTGGATGACATGGGGGTGAGTAAATTATCAGCAAAAGTTTTTTCAAAAGTGAACTAATCCTTTAAATATGATTAACGCAACCATTTACATTTTCACTGTCAATCACTCTCATTCTAGCCTGGATGCCAGCCCGAACTCCGCCCACAACATTTTTTGGTCGCGAACTTCGGTCTGGACTCGATCCATTGAGGAGTAATTATGATCAGACAAGAAACGTTCGGGCCAATCAAATTGCCAGGGCGGGCTTTATACGATGATGGACAGATGATCTGCAGGGACGTAATCATCATGTTATCAAAGAGCGCTAACTGATTTCCCTCAGAGATGACTGCAGCTGGAGAATTGAGATGTATCAATCAAGGCATTTGTCGATCTTCCTACATGATTCGGGAAAAGTGTAACTTATCAGCTGGCTCTGATGGTCGTTAAGAAGATGGGACGTAATGAAAAGCCTGTGGTCGTTGTGGTTTCTCCTTTGGTCGCACTCATGGAGAAGTAAGTAAAAGAAGCAACAATCGTTATTTAACTTCTAATCTAAAATAAGTAAGTTCTGTAGTTGAAAACTGCGCTATGCAAAGTTGTTGAGTTACCGCGTTGCTCTGATTGGTTGTAGGTTTACCGACTATCCAATTGAGTGTAGAGTTGTTGTTTTTTTCCTGGTTCGGTTAAGACACGCCTCATAATCAAAGCCCTACGGAGCAGATTCAGACTCACATTCTCACTAGAATACGAGTATGACGAAGTCAGGCTACTCTTATTCTGCTTTCTAAAGACATTTAAAATTAAAAAAAAAAAAATTGAAAACATTTATATGATTTTTTTTTTTTACATTAAGAAATCATAATCATGCCTAAATATGGAAAATAAAATATGTATTGTGATTTTTTGTAGCTTCCTATGAAGTTTCAATAAATATAGGGCGTGTGGGGGGAAAAGGGTAGCCTGACTTCGTCATACTCATATTCAAGAAAGAATATGAGTCTGAAACTCCTCCACTGGGCTTTGGTTATGAGGCGTGTCGTAACCGAACCAGGACAAAAAAAATAACCCTCTGCACTCAATTGGATAGTCGGTAGACCTACCAACCAATCAGAGCAACGCATAAGTCATCTCCTTTGCATAGCGCAGTTTTCAAATACAGAACATAGCCTAACTTTATTTATTTTAGAAGTTAAATAACGAGTGTTACTTCTTTTACTTACTTCTCCATGAGTGCCACCAAAGGAGAAACCACAACGACCACAGGCTTTTCATTACGTCCCATCTTCTTAACGACCGTCAGAGTCAGCTGATAAGTTACACTTTTCCCGAATCAAGTACGAAGGACGGCAAAAATATCTTTCCGATCGACAAATGCCTTGATTGCAGTTCTCTGTTTGTCTATTAAAATGAATGCGCTGTCGATCTATTTCACAACAGACGCGACAGTGGAATCTATACATCTCAATTCTCCAGATGCAGTCATCTTTGACAAGCGCTCTTTGATAACGTGAGGATTACGTTACTGACGACCACCTGTCAATCATCGTATAAAGCCCGCCCTGGAAATTTGATTGGCCCGATGATTTCTGAACCGATCTTAATTACTCCTTAATGGATCGAGTCCAGACCGAACTTCCCGCCAAAAAAATGTTGTGGGCGGAGTTCGGGCTGGCATCCAGACTGTGAAAAGGGTGAATTCAATTAGCAGTTGCACTATTTTGAGCTTGATATAGCAGAGCAAAAAAATGCATCATATCTAGGGATGCACCGATATGAACATTTTGGCCGATACCGATAACCGATAATTTTTTAAGACACGCCTCATAATCAAAGCCCTACGGAGTGGTCTCAGACTCATATTCTCACTAGAATATGAGTATGACGAAGTCAGGCTACTCTTATTCTGCTTTCTAAAGACATTTAAAATTTGAAAACAATTTGAAAACATTTAAATGATGTTTTTTTTTACATTAAGAAATCATAATCATGTCTAAATATGGAAAATAAAATATGTATTGTGATTTTTTGTAGCTTCCTAAGAAGTTTCAATAAAATGGGGTATGGAGATATGAAAACTTTGGCCGATACCGATAACCGATAATTCTTTATATTCGAAAGCCGATAACCGATATATTGGCCGATAAATCTAAACCCAAATTTTGATATAATTTTTGAGAACCTGATTACAAAAACAGTAGTCTCACCATTAAAATCCACGTCCAAAACACACAATTACAATGACGTTCTCGTTATAATTTTATGAAGCGGATATGACAGCCTTGCATGTTGCAATTTACTGTACTCAAGCAATTCAAATCCATCATGTTGAACAGTGCGCATCTTAAGCGTCGCAGCTGAAGAAAATAATACATTATTTATCGGCTTTAACGTATTGGCTAAATTTTCTTATCCAGGCGATAACGATAAGTAAATTGAACCGATATGGTGGCCGATATATCGTGCATCCCTAATCATATCACAAACTACTTGAAATCAGGTTAAACCATTTGTGTGGTCAGGGAAATTTAGGTCTGCTCTTACTGAGTCAAAGTTTTCCATTGATTTGTGTAATTTGTGGCAGTTCAGCATTGCAACCAATCTCAGACATGTCCGTTTAAATGAGTTAATGGCAACTACCGGTCCTAATGAGCGAATTTGAATCAGTCTATGAATCGGACACATGTTTTATTTCCCAATGCGCATGGAAATAATCGCTGCAAAAACTAAGTGTGGCGAACTAGAAAGCTAACTTTATAATCAACAAAGCGTAGAGAATAAGCTTGTGCTGGACTGCAGGGTTCATACTGGAAACTGTGTAAAGACTGACAGCTTCAGTGATGGTAAAGTGGTCTTGTAAGACAGTGTCTTGTTATGGCCAATGTTTACTATTTTCTTTTTACATGTACACTAGTGTATACAGTACGAATAGTTGAAGGTGTAACCTTTCAAAGCATACTCCATTTTAAAGCGTGAAGGCGGTCGACGTGCGCTCTAGAAAGTTTTAGCATTGTCAAGTGTCTATGCTATTTTTCTCCAGAAGTTAAGGCTGAAAATGTCTTTGTATTCTTTTAAACTAAAGTTGCAGATATCTCATAAACCTTCTCACACAAGCGCTTGTCAGTGTGTGTGTGTGTGTCTGTTGTTGTTGTTCAGTAACAACAGCCCCGGCAAGTGTTGCCACCTTGTGGAAGAAATGATTAGTGCGAAACAAATTCAATGCGCATGTGCGACCAACTGGTGACGAAATTCTGTGTATAATTAATTTAAACAGAATTATGTGTGTGTGTTTGTACCGTAGGGTCGAACTCAATGCTGGTGATGCCCTCATTACTTCCATCTAAAGTCCCTCTGTTCTGAAGAGTTCCTGTGTAAACAAAACACTGCACTATGTTACATCAAGCTTGGGAACTCCTGACTGCATAATAGTGCTCATCACATGAGATCATCGTTTATCTACACATCACTGCTAAATGTGCTGACATTTGGGTGTTTGTCAGGGCTTTTCTCTGTGGTTACTAAAGTGCTTGGAGGGTTTTTTATTGGGTTGCATTCTGCTCTCTATAAGATAAAAATATCATCTACAAATATATAAAATAATCATAATTCAAATGCAAAAACTGATATTTTTTTCTTGTTTTAAGAACAAATCTCACTTAATTTGATACATTTCTCAGAAAACAAGACTTCTTATCTTGTAGTCTGAAGTGAATGTGTTTAGATGTTGTGCTGACACCTGCTGGTGGCCACAGCCAGTCACATGTACTGACTAAATCATTGAGTATCACTTGGTTCGTGGTTCTTTATTATCGATCTGAACTCTGTATGTCTATATGTCTAAAGCTGACAGTGAAACAGATGTACCTCCTTCAATGTCCCACAGTTTGATGACTCTGTCAGTCCCTCCTGTTGCCAACAGGTTTGAACTGGTACTGAACCGCACAGCGTTGATTCCCAGCTCATGAGCATCCTGAAACCACAAAAAAATACATTCATTTCTAATTCTTTACATTTACATGTATTAGACTTTTTTTTTTTAATACAGAGCAACATTGCATTTAGGTATACATTTCATCAGTTCATGCATTGAGTGTTATAATCTTTTAAAACACCCCTAGCAAATTCCCAAATCTGCCTAGCAACCAAGTAACCACCCTGTCATGCAATTGAACCCAATACATTGGCACTGAGAGCACTATACTCTACTTTTTGAGCTACCGGAACACCTTTATGTCACTTTTATTACAATTTTTTTAATAACTGTTTTCTGTTTCAATGTAATTTATTCCTGTGGTCAAAGCAGTATTTTGAGTATCATTACTCCAGTCTTCAGAGCCATATGATCCTTCAGAAATCACTCTAAATATGATGATTAGCTGTTCATGAAACATTTGTTGAAAATGGTTGTGCTGCTTAATATTTTTTATAGAAACTGTGATATATTACCATTCAAAAATACAAAATTCCATTCAAAAATTTAGGGTAAATAAAAATAATACTTTTATTCAGCACGGATGGATGCATTTAAACAATTATGCATTTACGATGGATGCATTTTAAAAGACAAAAGATTTTTATTTCAAATAAATGCTGTTTTTTTTTTGTTTTGTTTTTTTCAATTCATCAATTCAAGAATCCTGAAAAAAAATACATCACAATGCCCACAATCATATTAAGCAGCAAAAACATTGATAGTAAAAATAACCATTATTAATAATTTAGCTGCAATAAAAATTGAGCAGCAAATCATCATATTAGAATGATTTCTGAAGGATGATGCTGATTTGACATCACAGGAATAATTTAATATATATATATATATATATATATATATATATTTTTTTTTTTTCAAATAGAAAGCACTAATTTTAAATGTTTTTTATATTTCACAATACTACTGTTTTTTCTGTATTTTTGATCAGATAAAGGCAGCCTTCGTGAGCTTAATAGACTTCTTTAAAAAAACATTAAAATTCCAAAAAAAAAACCAAAAAAATGATAAACTTTTGACCGGTAAGTCCGAGTAGCCCACAGCTTTCAGGCTGGACAGGCAAATTATTGTATGAAAAATAAGTGTGTCAGAAGCTTATTAATGTTGCAAGAACATGATTACAGTATGCATGCATATAACATGGGGTTTACATGCCACCTCAAGGTATAATCTTGTTGTTAAAAAATACAAAAACATTTTTAACATGGTACATGTCCAAATACCAAAGGTACAACAATGGTCCTTTTTGTTTTAGGTATGCATCCCCATGTGTCTGATTTGAAGGAACTTCTGTTTTTACCACAGCACAAGTAATAAAAATAGCAGTCATGCTCAATGTTATATTCAAACAGTCACTTATGTGAAACTTAAGAAGGGGAAGAAACTGCTAAGGTGTGAAAATGATAACAACAAGCAGTGTATTTACATACGTTACACAGTCAAGGGGGAACTAAAACAGCGGGCGATGAGCACTGCAATATTTTGCCATCGAGAATACAACATTTCTTGATGAAAAAAAAAATGATGAAACGACAGGAAATGGTATTTAGCCCTTACGTGCCAACAACCAAAAGATCAACAGGAAATGCAAATGAGTAATTGACACATGTCCATTTAAGGAAGTGGAAACTCCTCTCCATGCCACAACTAGGGCTGGTTCCTGCTGTCAGCTATTCAAATGAAAATGGCCGTCTGCACATGACAGAGCTGCAGTGTCCCACAGAAAGACACTGTTTCACAGCGACACACAGACGCTTTGTTCCACAGACACCCAGCTACCACTACGTGCTTGTAAAATATCATCCCTTACATGCTACGACCCCTTTAAGAACCACAAGATTGATCCACACAACTGTTTCCTTATCATTTTAACAAGGTTATATAGGTTCCTACTTGTTTCACAGCCCAACAGGACCACAATATCAACATGTAATATAACAGCACAACGTATGTGAGAGACATGATATGTTGTTGATGATGTTGTAAACGGTAACACGCACCAGTGTATGAATTGCCTTGGTTGGGACTCTGGCAACCAGACAGACTCCTAATGGGATAAAGAGATCCTCTTCTGACCTGCAGACTGATTTACCTCTGATCTTCCTCCTGGACACACAAACAACACAAGAATGATCAATAATACTCAAGGGTAGCACATCTTATATGTACAGTAAAATTGAGCTACAGTGTTGAGGGCAGTGTTGTAGTCGAGACCACCTCACTCGAGTCCGAGTCGACACCGAGACCAGAGAGAGTCGAGTCCGAGTCAAGACCGAGTCCATAGAGAGTCGAGTCCGAGACCAGAGACGGTCGAGTCCGAGTCGAGACCGAGACCAGTGAGGGTTGATTACCTAATTTATTTTTATTTACTTAGAGAAATCTTTTTTTTTAATTTTTTTTTCGTAGAGTTTAAAATATATGATCAGTTTAGGGTAAAAAGGCCACATAGTAGGTGGTGTTAAAAGTAATTTTATTACAATTTGTCATGCGCAGTTGCGCACTAGAAAATCACCAATCACTGGGCGTGTCAATCAATTTAAAGAAATATTTTATTAACATAGATTAATAATCATGAAAAATATTTTTAATTGAACTCGAGTGGACTCGGGAATAATTCCGAGTCCTAAAAAAAAAAAATGTTCGAGTACGAGTCAATTCCGAGTCCAAATGGACACGAGTCCATGACAAGACCAAGACCATTAAAATATGGTCTCGAGACCGAGTCCGAGACGAGTCCGAGTCTCGAGTACTACAACACTGGTTGAGGGTAACGCATTACAAGTACCATGTGTTTCGTAATCACTTTTGAACTAAATCTGGCCAAAAACGTTCATTTGGAGTTCATTCGAGAGTATGGTAAGGACCTTTGAACAATCATTGGTCAGTGGAGATTATGTAATGGAGTGCCCCCCACAGTCACCAGATCTCAACCCAATAGAGCATCTCTGGGATGTGGTGGACCCTGGATGTGCATCCCACAAATCTCCATCAACTGCAAGATTCTATCCTATCAATATGGGCCAACATTTCTAAAGAATGCTTTCAGCTCCTTGTTGAATCAATGCCACGTAGAATTAAGGCAGTTCTGAAGGCGAAAGGGGATCGAACACAGTATTATTATGGTGTTCCTAATAATCCTTTAGGCGAGTGTATATATAACATTGATATGAGGATTTAGACCTACCTATATTGTATTTATATAAAGCGTTCACAAGCAAATTATGTATTTCCACAGAGTCGAAATCAGGCATATGTAAAGGTCAAGAGACACGATTCGTAATGCTTGTCAGTATCCACGAATCACTGGATCTTTGGTAAGTTGTAAGTCCAACTTTTAGTTTAAACTGATAATCGTTTGTTTTACTCGCTTTCATGCAGTTTCTACTATTAACTCCAGTCACGCAGCAGCTCTTCTGCCACTGGGAACGCAACAGCTACATTGCCTTGTCTTGTCATTATAGTAGTGCACATTTACACATTTGAATAATCATTTGAATGAACTTTTATACACAATGAAAATGGCCTGTATTTGACCGAAATTCCAGATTGGTTGAAGCTGACTAGATAGATAGTGGAGTGAATGTTTATGTGGTTGTCAACAAATGGGATGCTACATTTTTATTACAAATTAAATATCTTCATTCGCTTTGGCTTTTATAAGATTTCCCTAATAAATAAGCAAGAAAAAAAACGTGTATTTATTTCCGACAACAAAGCACTTGAATATGACGAGCTCTTATGGTGCCTTCACGTGCTATGGAAAATTTGACATTTTCCACTTGTGAACTGGGATTTACCAGTGTGTTGCGTTTTCAAGTGCGTTTGTTGTCGTAATGTGGTAAAAAGATGGAAATCCAGACCTGTTATTTAGCTAAAACTATTTTAGATGCTTAAGTTATCTGCTATGATTCATCAAAACTCAAATGGCAAATAATATGCTGTATATAATCAAGATCATGAATAGTACATTATTTTTACCAATCACGACTCTCGCGTTGCTCTCCGCCATTTTGAAAAGGTCAAAGGTTATCTCATCTCGGCCATTCGTGCATTAAAACGTTCATGTGCATTTTTGGCATTCCACCATAATTACCATAACACGTGAATTAATTAACGCATTAATCACGACTTCAGAAGTGGGAAGTAGGAAATTTCTGATAGCGTGTGAAGGCGGGATAATTACTGCAAAGCATAATAATAATGTTTCTATATAATGTTCAAATATTATTGTGTTTATTCAATTTCAATCTTTCAGATTGGTTTATCATATCAGCATCAGTTGCCAAGTGGTGTGATCACATGCTGCAGGTGTCTATGATCAAGATGTTGAAACTAGTTTAAGGAGTATATTCAAACCATATTTATATATTTACATATTTTAAGTTCAGGTTAACTTTCCAGGCATTGATTTTTTGTGTGATTTTTATGCTACGCGTAATAAAAAAAAATCGGTAACACTTTAGAATTTGGTTCCTTCGTTAATGAATAACTACACAAGAACTAATGAGTAACACAATATTTACAATCTAGTAACTATTATTAACTAAAAAGAAACTCTGATTAACGAACTAGTAAGTAATAGCGCACAGACGAAAGTGGTAGTTCACTATTAAGTAATCAATAACTACTATTTTTTTAATACTTCCCAGAGAACTACTGAAAAAGTTTATTAACAATCTAGTAACTACTATTAACTAAAAGAAATTCTTATTAACGAATTAGTAAGTAATAGCTCACAGATGAAAGTGTTACTAGATACTTCTGTGGGAATTACTAATTATTTGGATTCGTATTATAAAGTGAAGATCATTGAAACTAACTAGTAATTACTCAAGTGTTACTAAAGACATTTTCTAAAAGTATATTAAAGTTCACCAAAAATCTCAAACGTTTGCACAAATCATGACTAGATCATGTAGTAACACTTGAGTAATTACTAGTTAGTTCCAATGATCTTCACTTTATAATACGGATCCAAATAATTAGTAATTCCCACAGAAGTATCTAGTAACACTTTCGTCTGTGCGCTATTACTTACTAGTTCGTTAATCAGAGTTTCTTGTTAGTTAATAGTAGTTACTAGATTGTTAATATTGTGTCACTCATTGGTTCTTGTGTAGTTATTCATTAACGAAGGAACCGTATTCTAAAGTGTTACCAAAAAATCATATTCAGCTATGGAATTTCCTTTTGGCAAAATTGTGTTTTATGTATGTTCTGATCTGCATAATTTTTTTTCTGTTTTAAATATTACTGCTATATTTTACTACTATTTTTAATATTTATCTATGTGTTCTGTGTATATGTTTCTGTGTACTTGTCTGAAGCCTTTTGTTTTTACACTAACTTCCTTAGTTTGTCTCCTGACTAAATAAATACGTTACTTTTAAACGTAACACTCCCAACTTATGCTACACACAGTGATATATCAGCGCTTTAAGGGCTTTTACTAAAAACTTACTCAAAGAGTCCTCTGATGGAGCTGATGATGCGGGGGGACGTAGCTGAAGCAGACCTGAGGGAAAATGTACAATTCTGGACAATCTGAAGAACTCTGAGATGGAAGATCAAGAAATCACTGTAATAATGATGCGTAAATGCCACTGCTGTTACCTGAAAAGTGGTCCATGTGATCTCTGGACTCTCTCCGCAGTTTCACATTTGGGGGATGATGGTTCGGAGGGTGACGTATTTCCAGACTCTCTGACAAAACAAAGCAAAATCATTAATGAAAACTCTCAGAATAAAAACAAACAATTCATGATGAATGTTGTTAAAGGATTAGTTTATCTAAAAATCATTTATTCACCCTCATGTCATTCCAAACCAAAACACAAATACATAAATGACAATGCATTCTTTAACATTTCTCCTTTTGTGCCCGACAGAAGAAAAAACGTTCTAAGGCTTTTGGATCGACATGTCGAGGTGTCAGTTTCACTTTATACAGTTGTTACTTACTCGTTTATTTTCACATTCTTACTGGCAGCCATCTGAAGCTCTTTGTGAATACTGGCCTCTCTGGCTCTAAGAAAGAAGAGGAAATGTGATCAAGAAAGGATGTGGTGTTTATGGAATGGGCAAAATTCGCTCTCAAGATTTAGGAAAAGGGAACATACAAACAAGCTGCCAGCAGAAAAGCACAGCAGCTGAGAGAATGTGCTCAGTGGACTTTGAATTATGCCCTTTACCCATTCATTAACTACATTAACCATCTTCTAAGCTATTGGATTTTAACAAGTAATGTTTCAAATGTTGTGTGACATGGCCTCGGTGTCGCTTATTTCTTGCTGACAGATCAAAACTTATTTGGACACTTTAAAGAATGTAGTATCTCTAGCTCCCCCACATTGTAACATATTCACAGACAAAGGCTGTTAAATAGCTTTTTGTTTCATAAGCCTTAGAAAAAAACAGATTATTGGTTTGCATTTTGAGACAAAGCAATGGCATTGGCATATTTTGAGGTGTGTCAGTGCAAGTTGCTTTCAGTTAAGAAGACAGCTCAAACATGCATTTTAGTCTGGGACTAGGCTTAAGCTATTCTGTAAAACTAGGCACTGAAGTCTCAATCTTGTGCTATTTTGGATTTAACATTTCATGTTGTGTGAAGTGTAAAAGTTATAAAAGTTGTAAAAGATCAAAGTGCACAATAAATGGAGTTATTGAGTTGTTAGAAGACTAGAATTGATATGGTGAAATTGGAGCCATAGTTACTGTTCTTATCACTGTGTGTCCAATCCCTGAGGAAGAACAGAAATTCAGATGTGGTAATGACTTGGCCATCTGACCAATCAGAGCAGAGTAGACCAATCACGACAGACTGGCCATCTGACCAATCAGAGCAGAGTAGACCAGTCACAATAGACTGGGCCATCTGACCAATCAGAGCAGAGTAGACCAATCACAATAGACTGGGCCATCTGACCAATCAGAGCAGAGTAGACCAATCACAACAGACTGGGCCATCTGACCAATCAGAGCAGAGTAGACCAATCACAACAGACTGGGCCATCTGACCAATCAGAGCAGAGTAGACCAATCACAACAGACTGAATCATCTGACCAATCAGAGCAGAGTAGACCAATCACAACAGACTGGGTCATCTGACCAATCAGAGCAGAGTAGACCAATCACGACAGACTGAATCATCTGACCAATCAGAGCAGAGTAGACCAATCACAACAGACTGGGTCATCTGACCAATCAGAGCAGAGTAGACCAATCACGACAGACTGGCCATCTGACCAATCAGAGCAGAGTAGACCAGTCACAATAGACTGGGCCATCTGACCAATCAGAGCAGAGTAGACCAATCACAATAGACTGGGCCATCTGACCAATCAGAGCAGAGTAGACCAATCACGACAGACTGGCCATCTGACCAATCAGAGCAGAGTAGACCAGTCACAATAGACTGGGCCATCTGACCAATCAGAGCAGAGTAGACCAATCACAACAGACTGGGCCATCTGACCAATCAGAGCAGAGTAGACCAATCACAACAGACTGGCCATCTGACCAATCAGAGCAGAATAGACCAATCACAACAGACTGGGTCATCTGACCAATCAGAGCAGAGTAGACCAATCACGACAGACTGGCCATCTGACCAATCAGAGCAGAGTAGACCAATCACAACAAACTGGCCATCTGACCAATCAGAGCAGAGTAGACCAATCACAACAGACTGGGTCATCTGACCAATCAGAGCAGAGTAGACCAATCACAACAGACTGGGTCATCTGACCAATCAGAGCAGAGTAGACCAATCACGACAGACTGGCCATCTGACCAATCAGAGCAGAGTAGACCAGTCACAATAGACTGGGCCATCTGACCAATCAGAGCAGAGTAGACCAATCACAATAGACTGAATCATCTGACCAATCAGAGCCGAGTAGACCAATCACAACAGACTGGGCCATCTGACCAATCAGAGCAGAGTAGACCAATCACAACAGACTGGCCACATGACCAATCAGAGCAGAGTAGACCAATCACAACAAACTGGCCATCTGACCAATCAGAGCAGAGTAGACCAATCACAACAGACTGGGTCATCTGACCAATCAGAGTACAGGAGGAAAGGAGAGTTTAGAGAGACCGAATCCTTGATCAAACTATTTCAGACCCCGAGAGAAAAGAGTTGATGCTGTAATATATTATGAGGAAAGTAAAGTGTTTTTGACATTGGATGCATGTAAATGTATTAAAATGATGCCATCATTTACTCACCAACAGGTCATTCCGAACCCGTATTACTGACTTTCTTGTGCAAACACAAAAGCAGATATTTTTAAATTATGTTTTGCCCATTCAATAAATGTCAATGGGGTTACCCAGTAAGATATTTTTCAAAAATATTGGTTCCACAGAAGAAAGTAAGTCATACAGGCTTGATGATGAAAGATTTTTAGTGTAAGGAATGAACAATCCAGTAGCGGTTCTAGGCACGGGCGAACCGAGCAGTCGCCCGGGGCGGAATTTCTTCATGTCACATGGGGGGCGGCACGAGCAGTTAAAAAAAATCCTCTGTGCCGCGAAGTTTTTTTATTTTTTATCATTTCGATTCAATTATTGGCAATGGCGCCCTGCTTGCTGAGAAGGTGCCGTGCGCAGAAGCGAGGGGATCAAGGGGATCTCCTGATTAGTTCACGTATCGCGTCTTTTGCGCGCTCGTGGTCGTTATTTCAAATCCTCTATGTTTCAAATAGGCGCACGGGAAGCGTGCTCACAAACTTTTCAGTATGGGAGTGCACGTGCACCCAAACACTTGGGTGTTTTTTTCTCTTCTCCGTAAATAAATCTTTTAGCAGAACTTCAGCAAGCGTTTTTCTGTAGTGGAAATACATTAGCTACTAAAACTTCTTTGTCATTGGAGAGCGCAGTGTAATGAGTGCATGGTTCTATAGAAACGACAGCCATGGGAAAACTGGTACAAATTTTACTATTAATAATAAAAGATAAGCTGTGCATTATAAATGTCAGGAATGTATCTTTATTGACTCATTCTTTTTATAGAGAGGATTTAAATGCTGAAATATGAGGTTTATCTTTATATAAAACCTTTTTTGTGTTAACCTTTTTTAAAGTTTAGTAGGTAAGATGAAAGACACTCCTTTAAAACAAATCTTTAATGTTATTAACTTGGTGAATTGACACTGTTTATTAGGCTTTTTAAACAAGATTCTGTGATCATTTTGGTCACTACTTTTCATAATGATCAACTAAAATCAACTTTAATTATTAGAGTTTTTACAGTATAATATGCAAAGTATTTTTTTTTTTCAGGGGGGCGCTCGAAGGGGGTCTCGCCCTGGGTGTAATTCAAAGTAGAACCTCCACTGGAACAATCCCATTAAATCCAATGGCACCAATAAGAAGAGGAGAGTGCATTTTTTGCTTTTCTCATTGTTGACTCTAATAGCGCAGTAATCACATGTTTCACCTTCAAGAGATTATTGCTATGTATAATTGTTGTGTGTAACCCTCTAACATGCGCCCATCCCCCCTCTGACCTCACTCTCTTCTCGTTCCGATGGTTCATGCGGGCCGCAGCCTGCTGTTTTAGCTGGATCATGTTCTCCAGGATCTCGGCGCTGTGGAGTTTCTCCTGTCGGTACGTCCTCTCCGTGTCCTGGTGCTGCTCCAGCAGAGAATCATAGGTTTGTTTCAGGAGTCGGTTTCCAGTCTGCACCTCAGCCACGCGCTCCTGAAGCTCACCGTGCACTGAAGCCAGAACACTGAGATGCTTTTGGACCTCATTCAGCCTTATTTGAAACACAAAACAAGATGTATGATAAAGTGGTTCCACTTTCCAATACAATTTTTTTCAACAAAGTGTCTATAAAGACATGGGAGGTCAAACTAAACAGCAAATTACAGTGGTGTGAATAAGTTTTGGCACCCATGCTAAAGTTGCCTAAAAAGAGGAATAAAAAAATCATCTTTTGGATATTGATCTTAATGCCTTAATTAGAAAAATAAGGAAAACTCCAACCTTTAAGGACACAAATTTTTTGTGTGAATGAATAATGTATCATAAATAAATCAATGTTTTTCCTTAAAATACAGGGCGCATAAGTCAGGACACCCCTATGTTAAATTTCCATAGAGTCAGGCAGATTTTTATTTTTAAAGCCAGTTATTTCATAGATCCAGGATAATATGCATCCTGATAAAGTTCCCTTGGCCTTTGGAATTAAAATATCCGCACATCATCACACACCCTTCACCACACCTAGAGATTGGCATGGTTTTACTTCAGTTAGCCTAATAGCTGGTTTGATTTACATTGAAAGATGATCTTATGGAAAGTACCCCATGCCAATCTCTAGGTGTGGTGGAAGGTGTGTGATGATGTGGGGATATTTTTTGTATATATAAATACATATGCATGTTTTTTTTTTATCATCAAAAGTTTGGAAATGTAAATTTTGAATAAATACTGCAGTTTTCAACTTTTTTTCGTCAATGAATCCCGGAAAAAAGCATCACAGATTCAAAACAAATATTAAGCAGCACAACTGTTTCCAATATTGATAATAAATCAGCAGATATAAATGATTGTTATTAGTATATTAAAATAGAAAAACATCAATTATTAAATAGTAATAATATCACAATATTATTTTTTCAAAAACATAAAAAAATAATGCTTCCAAACTTCTGATATATACGGAGGCGTATTGCATTGACTTGAAGAAAAAAAAAATCTACTCTGTTTTTTCTGAATTAACGAGTTAATTTTAAATGAGAAAATAAAAATTTGCTCTGTTTTTCTGAATTAATGAGTTAATTTTTCATGAGAAAAAAGTTTTTGCTCTGTTTTTCTGAATTAACGAGTTAATTTTTCATGGAATTTTTTTTTTTTTTTGCTCTGTTTTTCTGAATTAATGAGTTAATTTTTCATGAGAAAAAAAAAATATTTTGCTCTGTTTTTCTGAATTAATGAGTTAATTTTTCATGGATTTATTTTTTTTTTGCTCTGTTTTTCTGAATTAACGAGTTAATTTTTCATGGATTTTTTTTTTTTGCTCTGTTTTTCTGAATTAACGAGTTAATTCAGAAAAACAGAGCAAAAAACTTTTTTTCTCACAAAAAATTAACTCATTAATTCAGAAAAACACGAGAAAAAAATATTTTCTCATGAAAAATTAACTCATTAATTCAGAAAAACAGAGAAAAACTTTTTTTCTCATGAAAAATTAACTCATTAATTCAGAAAAACAGAGCAAAAAAAAATTCTCATGAAAAATTAACTCGTTAATTCAGAAAAACAGAGCAAAAAAAAATTTTTCTCATGAAAAATTAACTCATTAATTCAGAAAAACAGAGAAAAAATGTTTTTTCTCATGAAAAATTAACTCATTAATTCAGAAAAACAGAGCAATTTTTTTTCTCATAAAAAATTAACTCATTAATTCAGAAAAACAGAGTACATTTTTTTTCTTCAAATGCATAACACCTCCGTAGATATATACAGTGTGTGTATATAATGCGATTTAAATAAACCTGTAGTGGCAAGCAGGGTTGAGACTTGTAGTCTAAATGTTGATTTGTAGTTATTTCATAACATAATAGCACAATACGTTCATATAAATCAAATCAAATTATTTGTTTAATACATTTATTTGTTACAGGTAACTAGTGTAAATGGTTTGAAAATGGTATGTGACAATTGTGTTTTATATAATTATGTGCCCATATTGACACAGTCATAAATGTGGGCCATGCATTTGATGTGCTTTATTGTATATTCATTTATCTTAAATTTTTAAATGCCTCTAACCCTTTAAAGTCACAATTGTGCCCTATTTGTGGAACGTGACAAATTTAAAGGCTGGTGAGATGAGAATGAGAATGTTATTTCTATGGTACTCCAACGTAATGCAAAGAATACATATGCTAACAAGCTTTAGTGTGTTTTTGAGGTCTAAGGAGGTTTACTTGGTATGTTGTTCATCCAGTGTCGCTTCCTTCATCTGGAGTCGCTGCTGCAGTTCCACCACTTGGTATGCAAGCTGCGAGAACAAAAACAAGTGGAAAGCCAAAAAACATATTTCAGAGGGGTGGAAAAAGCCATGAAGGGAAACTCACTTCTTTACTATATTAATACGTTTAAAGGAGTTTAAAGGGGAGAGGACTTGTGTGTAGATACGCAGCAGGTTTTATCACATGCTTTCGCAAAAATGTTGCCGCTGATCTTAGGACAGCGAGATTAGATGTAAGAACTGGTTGTGCTCACTTCTCAGACTAACAAGTGAAAAGTAATGTTCACATTTATGTGAGACTAATATGCTTTGACTACATGCTTTGCATTTACAGGCGTGAAGCCATCAGTTCAGGAGGATCTTCGGCTCGCTTGTATAGGTTTGATGGCATGATAACAGCGGGAAACTTGTAAACCTGTTTAGAGGAACAGGTCGCAACTTGTGCCATAACATTCAAGGTTTATTGGAAATTATGAGAGAGGCTGACTGTGTTTTTCCCATGCATTCTGTAGCATCATCTCATACCTCACCGGTGGTCGTCTTTAGAGACGTCAGTGAATCTTCAGATGAGGGGACCGCCGAGGGCCTGCAGGGGCCGAAAAACAGCATTTAGAAATCATTTATATGGCACTCCAATGAATACATGCTAATGCTATGTCATGTCGACAACTGCATTTTAAAAAGACATAATTGGGGGGGAAATTAGAGGAAATCCATGATTTCACAATCGCATGTAGATATGTGGTAGTTTTATTTGTGTCAAAAATATTATTTAATATGACTGCATCAAATGGTTACTCCAACGAATTATATTTTACGGGTCACTTTTTTTACAGTCGCACATTATGACTGAGAGTAAAGGTTACCTTGACCCTGATCCCAGAATGCCTTTGGTTATGAAGGCTCTTTGCTTGGACTTCTCCAGCAAACTGTGATCTAGAAGAAGAACAATAAGATAAACGACTTGTAAACATACTTCTGGACCATCATCTTAATATTTGTTTGAAAAGAGGCTAGCTGGTGTTTGCATGCACTCCAAGTGTGTTTGTTTGTTAATGAGATTTTTCATTTGCACCCAAGTGTCAAGATTCACAGAATGAATGAGAACTCGCACAACTCTGAATCTCCTTTGTATCAGTGTTATTCTCAAGATATGCAAATTAGACCTTTAGCTAGTCACCTGTTCTTAGATCCAAATAAAGGTTCATAAAAATGGAGCATGGGGGAAATTTCATATAACTGTATTATAACTATGTTATAGGTTAAATTCTAAAATAAAACCTAATGAATAAATATAGCATACATCCAATATTTAATAAAATATACATTGTAGAACTATATATATATGATTCAGATGCAAAAGCCTCTAAATGCCATTTGAAATTTTCTTCTAGAATGATAATTTTTGTCAAGCTTGTATATTTAAGTTCAGTAATTTCACTTAAATGGCAATGATAATTACCTATTAATTGTTATTTAAGTGAAAATACTGAACTTAAATATACAAGCTTGATAAAAATCATCATTAAAGAAGAAAATTTCAAATGGCATTTAGAGGCTTTTGCATCTGAACTCTTCATATATATATATATATATATATATATATAATACATGTATTACACTTTTTTAAAATGCTGTTTTTAAATACCATATATATATATATATATATATATATATATATATAACAGCATTTAAAAAACGTATGAACATAACAAACAAATTACAATAACATAAAACATGTTGTATTTGAACTATTTCGTATTTTGTGTATAATACATAATTAACTGTATTAAATTGTTATAATTTCCTAATCTTATTTCAAATTAAATCAATTTAATCAACCATAAAGGCGTGATATACAAACTTATATAGCATCCAAAACAAGTTTCTTCCTTCTCATAGCATGCTTTAATAAGTTAACTGATATTAATAACATTAATAAAGCTTACACGAGTCAATAATGTCCTGGAAGACGCTGGTCTGTGTCCTGTTGCGATGTTTCAGCTGTCTAATAATGTGTCGCTTCCATGTTTCGCTCTGTCTAACTTCAGAGTTTGTCGCGCGCTCCAACGCAGACATGATCATAAATAATAATAGTACAACAACCTAAATTCTTAGACATAGTACATATGTTTACGCGCCGTCATCTGAAACTTATAAGTTTGTTTTTCCAGTCTTATAAAGCGAATTGACAGGAAAGTGTCAGAAAGCGGCGCGGCAGCTGTGCGCGTTGAGACGCAACGCGTCACTTCAGTGTCTGTGTGTGTGTGTGTTGTAAACACATGGAAGACCCGCCCGCTTCTGTGACTTGTGATGAGTAATCATGACTAATCTGTGCGCGCGTCTCAAGAGCAGAAACAGAGCGAGCAGAGCAGTGTCAGAGAACGGAAGACCAAATGGGCGTAGCCTATTGTCCTGTATCATGTGACATGAGTCACTTTTCTAAGCGATTAATCATGATGGACCAATCACGTCGTGATTATAAATTGAGGTTATTTAAAAAAAAAAATTTCTGGGGTACATTTTTATTTCTTTGTCTGATAACTCCCATAGGAATTAAATAGTTAAAATATGATACATTTACTGTACTAATGAGTAAAAAACGTCTTGAAATTTGATTGCTGCTCATGGCAGTTCGCTTCTCTGAGCTGTACAGCGCCTCCTGTCGTGACTAGCTTGCGTGTGCTGTAGAAATAGTTCTATTTGCGAGGAACATTTGCCACCCTATCCGGAAAAGTGCATCAGCTGTACAAACACTTCCCTAGAACAATTCTGTATTTAACACTTCAGCACAGAAACCTCAGCTCACACAAACACTGTAGTGATTTAATGTGCATGACTTACCGCTACTACGAGGCTGACAAGAGTCGCACTTCACAGTATGTATGGCAAACATAGTGGGTTTTTTGGGGAAGTTGCTAAAGACAGGTCGATTTGTTGCTAAAAAAAAAAAAAAATACTAAATCACGTTTTGATGTCATTGTGCGATGACGTCAATGCATAGAATTCACAATAAGATTATACGGTAATATAAAATAATATAATATAAACAGTTTTTCCAAGTCATCTCAATGGCAACCAGAACCACCCTGTATATACTCACCTAAAGGATTATTAGGAACACCTGTTGAATTTCTCATTAATGCAATTATCTAATCAACCAATCACATGGCAGTTGCTTCAAACCCTTTAAGGGTGTGGTCCTGGTCAAGACAATCTCCTGAACTCCAAACTGAATGTCAGAATGGGAAAGAAAGGTGATTTAAGAAATTTTGAGCGTGGCATGGTTGGTGGAGTATTTCACAATCTGCTCAGTCACTGGGATTTTCACACACAACCATTTCTAGGGTTTACAAAGAATGCTGTGAAAAGGGAAAAACATCCAGTATGTGGCAGTCCTGTGGGCGAAAATGCCTTGTTGATGCTAGAGGTCAGAGGAGAATGGGCCGACTGATTCAAGCTGATAGAAGAGCAACTTTGACTGAAATAACCACTCGTTACAACCGAGGTATGCAGCAAAGCATTTGTGAACCTTGAGGCGGATGGGCTACAACAGCAGAAGACCCCACCGGGTACCACTCATCTCCACTACAAATAGGAAAACGAGGCTACAATTTGCAAGAGCTCACCAAAATTGGACAGTTGAAGACTGGAAAAATGTTGCCTGGTCTGATGAGTCTCGATTTCTGTTTGTTAGAATTTGGCGTAAACAGAATGAGAACATGGATCCATCATGCCTTGTTACCACTGTGCAGGCTTGTGGTGGTGGAGTAATGGTGTGGGGGATGTTTTCTTGGCACACTTTAGGCCCCTTAGTGCCAATTGGGCATTGTTCGCGACCTGAGCATTGTTTCTGACCATGTCCATCCCTTCATGGCCTCCATGTACCCATACTCTGATGGCTACTTCCAGCAGGATAATGCACCATGTCACAAAGCTCGAATCATTTCAAATTGGTTTCTTGAACATGACATTGAGTTGACTGTACTAAAATGGCCCCCACAGTCACCAGATCTCAACCCAATTGAACATCTTTGGGATGTGGTGGACCGGGATCTTCGTGCCCTGGATGTGCATCCCACAAATCTCCATCAACTGCAAGATGCTATCCTATCAATATGGGCCAACATTACTAAAGAATGCTGCTTTTCTATATATTTTTTTCTCAGTGTAATCAACAATTATAGGTACAAGATAATAACAAGGTGCATCATAAATGAACAACTATTATTGAACAATTGCAAGTGCCTTTTTTGTCATCTGACGTCACTTTTCAAAAGTTGCTAAAAGTGGCCAAATAAATAATAAATATTGCTAAATTTGTTAGGTGCTTTTTGAAACAAAAAAAAGTTGCTAAAGCTTGCAACAAAATTCCCAAGTTAGCAAAACTGCAGGTGTCACGAACCACAAGGGAATGCTGTGGGGTCTGTGGAAACATAAAAATATTAAAATTATAAATATAAAACATAAAAATTTTATGAAAAAAAAATTGAAAATGAGAAATGTTTCTTTGGTAAATTTCTGATTTAGAAAAAACTAAATTTGATGAAACTAAATATATAATAGACTAAAATAAAAATAAAAATACACCTATAGTAAGTAGGAATTTTTTTTTTAACAAATAATATTTTAGACATATTTATACAATTAATTTTTTACATTATGACTTGGGTCTGTATACATGAATATATATATATATAAGATGCCCTGGCCCGAAATGCTTCATTTTCAATAGACTGCAATTGATTTATAATTGGTAAAGAAACAGTCTTTCAAAATCATAAGGAACAATCAAAAAACAATTATATTTAACAATAAAATGTTTAATATTAAAATAGTGTAAATGGCTGATTAAAACATATTTACAAAGCTTCCCTAAAAAGTTAACTATACATTTTCAGTGAAGAAAAAAGAAAAAGAAAAGGATTGCACATCAACATGACAAAGCATAAACCAGTGGCAAAACCAAGCAAACCGTGAGTCTCAGCCTGGCGCTTCAGGAATCACATCTAGATTCAAAACAACTCTGCGTGAAATGGTGTGAAACTACAAAAAGCATCAAACATCAAAAACTGCAACACAAAACTACATAATTCAACTGTTTGAATTCCAAAAGTAACACTGTTTCAAAATTCTACATGATATATGGAAAACAAACGATTGAAGGGTTTGCCTTGATAAGTTGTTAAAGGATAAAAATAATTCAAGTGTATGTGAGCAAATACACTGATTGAAATGTAGTGTGAAAAAAAGTAGGCAGTTTTACAAAAAGCATTAAATGTGCACGTACATGCTTACAAAAGCAACACAAGACATTGAAGTTTGAAGGTGCTGATGGGGGAATGGCGTTAGAAGTTCATTTCGGCCAATAAAACGAGGTGTTACTCCAGTGCGGGCGGAGCTGCTTTCTCAGTCATTCGCAGTAAGAGCATCTCGGAGTATTTCTCCAGGAGCGCCACGGCGCGGGCGTCCCGCAGCTGGCGGCCGGGGGAGTCTTCCGGGACGGGACGGGCGTGGGTCTCCTGTGGGCACAGGGAGAGTAACTCGCACTGGACGCCCACAAACACCTCCTGCAAAATACTCTTCATCTGTTCCTGCTGCTCCGACAGCTCCGGGATGGAGCACAACTACAAAGGGAACACAGACCGTATTAGTGTTAGATGGATTTAAGTTTGAAGAACGCAACAGAAAAGGGGAGTCCTCAGATAGCGGCTCCATCCACACAACAGCCACGTTTCCATTACCATTCAAATTGCGAACTGAAAACATGCCGTTTTCTTTTTTATTTACAGATCACTAGACGTTCGTACAAGTCACTCCTCCATAGGCTTCCTAAGGGACTGGCTCTTGACGGCCCATAAAGTCATTAAAGAAAAGGTTTAAATATTCCATGTGCCTACAGCGGCTCAATTATAAGTTTATCAAGCGACGAGACTACTTTTTGTGCGAAAAAAACATAAATAACGACTTAATTCGACTATTCTATTACTTCCTTATGGGCGCATGTGCGAGAACTGAGACGAGGACGTTCTCATTCGTCTACTTTTTGTTACCGGCTGCTCCGCTTAGGAGTTTTACCGCCTCCTACCGTATAAGATGATGTGCTGATATAGCTGGAAGCGCAAAACTTTCTGTTTACAAGCAGAGGAAGATGCGCGCTGTACATACGCTTTTCAATTAGCGTATTTTCCGCACTATAAGGTGCACTTAAAAGCCTTTAATCTTCTCAAAAAACGAGAGTGTTCCTTATAATCCGGAGCGCCTTATATATGGATCATCATTTTATACGGTAAGGGGCGGTAAAACTCCTAAGCGGAGCAGCCGGTAACAAGAAGTAGACGAAGGAGAAGAACGTCCTCGTCTCAGTTCTCGCGCATGCGCCCATAAGGAAGTAATGGAATAGTGGAATAAAGTCGTTATTTATGTTTTTTTCGCACAAAAAGTATTCTCTTCGCTTGATAAACTTATAGTTGAGCCGCTGTAGGCACATGGAATATTTAAACATTTTCTTTAATGACTTTATGGGCCGTCAAGAGCCAGTCCCTTAGGCAGTCTATGTAGGACTGATCCAGCTCTCAGATTCAATCAAAAATATCTTCATTTGTGTTTCGAAGATGAACGAAGGTCTTACGGGGTTGGTACAGCATGGGGGTGAGTAATTAATGACTTAATTTTCATTTTTGGGTGAACTAACCCTTTAAGGGGGATCAGTGTTTTCCTCTTGCAGTGTCTTTTCTGTCATACATGGGTATTTAAATGTGAAAATAACCCAAACTTACATTTTAATATTCTTATCTAACTGGGCTCAACTGATGAATATTGTTGTTGTTTTTTTTAGTTCTGACTCGATGCTTTAGCTCTGAGGACACACAATACTTTATCTTTGCTTCTATTTTGAGTGTTTGGGATTTTTGTTCTTTTACAAATGCTTCCCAGATGGAAATGTAGAACCATTCCAAAGAAATATTTTCCGAACCGCCGCTAGGAAGGAAATATAATGACCGGACCTTTTGGAAGTGTAATTGAACACCCCTGTTATAGAATATCTACAGAAAAATCCAATATGTTTTTACTTCATTTCTGGCAGGTTAATTACAGTTGTTATATACACAATACAAACACACACAGAGAGAGAGAGAGACTTTTAAAGAAAACTGCAAAATGAATGATAAGGCAACTCTATGCAACAATATAATAACAGTAATTAATTTTCTTAAAGCCAGTATGCAAGTACAAACTGATCCAACAATTTAAAAACATACAGTTGGTAAAATTGATTTCATTTAAGATTTTTTGAAAAGGTTTCTTCTGCTCACCAAGGCTGCATTTAAAGGAGAGCTCATTTGGAGAGAGGAGAGTACATTTGGAGTGCTGTCAGTTAAGACAAAAATCGGTGTGATCCCTTTTTAAAATCTGCACCCTGTTGACTTCAATGGGGCATGTTCTAAACCTGCTTTTAGCCTCTTAACATCCTTGATTTGTCATTACGAGTGCACAGCCATGTGAGTGGTGTTATTAAGAGTGACCACGGTCAATCTGACTGCAGTTAATTCAGCCAGCTCACATACCTGAATTTACTTCCTGTTTTTGGTCTAAGTCCACAGTAGTCGATTGTCGAGTTTGTGCGCGCGATCATTGGTAACTAAATGGTGTTCAAGATCTGAACTATCCGATGAACTATCCATTTGAGCTGAAATTCTCAGAACACCACACAACACCGTCATCGGCTGACAGCTGACAGTCTGAGTCTCCACTGTTGCTTAGTTACCAATGATCGCGCGCGCCAACTCGACAATCGACTACTATGGGCTTCGACAGGAAGTAAATAGAGGTATGTGAGCTAGCTGAATTAACATCATTTTTATTAATGAATCTACTGCAGTCAGATTGACCGTGGTCACTCTTAATAACACCACTCCAGCGCCGGCCCGAGCCTTTTGGGGGCCCTAAGCAGAATTTGATTTGGGGGCCCCTCCCACGACGCGGAGTCACCTGTGTTTGACGATTATTGACATAAATGTCACGCAAAAATGATACATTATAAATGAATACACTGAGGTTATGTATTAATAAAAAAATAGATGCCTACTTAAATAAAAAAGTTTGAAAACAGTCTTAAAACTGTTTTAAAACATATACAATAAATTATTTGCTAAAATTATGACAAAACTGAGAAATTAGAAACGTAAGAGCAATGATACTTTGGCCTATCCTCCTGGGACCCAGGAATAGACTTTTGTCCACTGTAGTGGACATTATATTTTAGTGTATTTCTCTGACACCATGCATGTCACCTTTTTTTTTTTCTGGATGTCCTGTAAAGAGCACATTCAGGGCAATACAGAGATACCAAATGTTTGGAGGTTTCACCATGAAAACAACTTCTCCTTGGTCTTTAAAAATGTCTAACATTAATTTAGTGATCAAATGTAGCACTCTTATTGAAATATGGTAATATATTGTAATTATAATTTAAATCTAACTACTTTTCAAATTGTATTTCATCAACCAACATCTCATGAAAATGTTATGGGGTTTCAAATGAAAAAAATGACTTTCCGTTACAGGGCATTGATTTCATTCATGTCCACTGTAGAGAACATCAGGACATAAATCATGTTTATCAGGCATTCTGGGAGACATAACAAGTGAATATGTAAATAAATTATACGTCAATATTCTTATGACATATTAGATATTATTATTAAAATGTTGCTTATTATTACGCCAATGCTTACACTTCTTTCCTCATTAAATGTTGCTCCAAGAACACATTAATGTGCAAATTAGATACAGTGTATAGATACTTTGCATTGAATGGGAATATTAATTTATGCCAATTTTACCCATATATTGCATAAAGTAAATTGGTGTATCAATTAATTCCATTATATCTTTCATAACATAGTTGATAATCATCTTTATACAAATTTTAGTTCAAAAAAATCCTGAAACCCCAAAATGTATTGGTGATTGGAAAAAAAATCCCATTGTTTTTGCCTACACATTGTATGTCATTTAATTTTAACAACTGAGTCCTGGTGTCCACTACAGAGGACAAAGTATTACATATGAATAAAATCTAATTTTTCAAAAAGGTTTTTTTTTTTTTTTTTTTTTTTTACCATTTGTTTATTATGCTCTAAACAATGTGATGACATGAAAAAAAACTAAATTAAAAAAAAAAAAACTTTCTGGGTCTCAGCTATTGTTGAAAACTAAAAATATTACTAGCCTATTTCTCAACTGTCTCAATACAGAGTAACTATCCTCAAAATCTTTATTATTGTTATTATTATTATTGTAACAGACTTTGTTATATAGTACATGACATAATCAACACAGTCTGTTACTATAATACCGGTTATGATGTTCTGGCGCTCGTTGTATGTGTGTATGCAATGTATTTTTCCCCTCGGGGCTTGCCGTAGATGGGTCGTGGGCACTTGCTAGGCTACTGGAGTGTCGCGGGTGTTTGGAGATCTGATGTGTGGTATAATAAAGTGGAGAAGAGTTCAAACTGCTATGTTTATTATTTATTCAAACTGCTACCCTTACACCTTGAAGGATAAGTTCTCCTGCGGGCTATTTTCTCCAACTTAAACCGATACCGTGACTAGGCGCAGTTGCGCACGAATTGTCTATGCACGCGCGAGGTGTCTAGATTATGCGTATGACTTAAACGCTGGCAGACAGAGCAGCAGTTGTAACTTGTAGGCAGGTATATTGACCATTAAATCAGAATTTTGTTGTCTTGAACTATTCATTCAGTCATATTCATTCATTCATTGATTTATGTCACTTGTTTAAGTCATCTAAAAAAATAAAAATAAAAAATAACCTCGATTAGGGGGCCCCCTGGTGGCCAGGGGGCCCCAAGCAGCCGCTTAGTTCGCTTATGCCTCGGGCCGGCCCTGCACCACTCACATGGCTGTGCACTCGTAATGACAAATCAAGGATGTTAAGAGGCTAAAAGCAGGTTTAGAACATGCCCCATTGAAGTCAACAGGGTGCGAATTTTAAAATAACGTTAACACGGTGTAGGCAACACCGATTTTTGTCATTTTTGTGTGTACTGACAGCACTCCAAATGTACAAAAAAAAATGAGCGCAATGTTAAAATGGCTTGGACTTTAATCAAACAGTAAAAACGAATTAAACTTTGTGAAAAGTTTGTTAATTAAACGCATTACTTTTGTGAAATCTTTTTTATATTTAATATTCTTAAATAATTTCTGTGAAAGAAAGCTGAATTTTCAGCATCATTACTCCAGCCAAAATCGTATTTTTTATTTTAAAGGTTCTCTAAGCGATGTGGGGCCAAAACATTTTTTGTCACATACATCAAACGTCTCTTCACTATCGGCTAGCTGCCTGTCCCCTAAACACACTGTAAAAAAACGCGGTCTCTGTAGACACCACAGGCTCCACAAACGGCAACAAAAACAATCATGTCTCACCCGGACCACGAAACCTAACAAACAGTGTTCCAGCCAATCACTGGCAAGAAGTATTTGAGGGTGGGTCTGGGGAGTTAGTGCGCGTGCACATGAAGGGGGTGTGTGTGTGAAGGAGAGCAGCGAAGCATCAGAGGGAAGTTTGAAAAATTACCAACACACGACCAAAGAGACGTCGTTCTGAAGAACAAATTAAAAAGAAGAAGGAGTCGGATAAAGATCGTGCGAAGTTCCGAATTTACATCGGTAGCAAAGCTTTTGAACGATGGCGAGAACTCCGGCGGCAGAAGGGCTTCCAGTCCGACATTCAGGTTGCTCTGTTTTTGCTGGACAGGTGGGTAACGTTAAATTGTTTTTTTTCTTCTAAATTGACGCTTATGTTCGCCAAACCCACACAAGGATATAATTAGCTAGAACTATGCACGTTCACAATTATTTCAGGAAGCACGGAAGGGAGGGGGAGGAGATGAGATGCGGCGGAGGGAGGGTCTAGCTAGCCTCCAATTTGTTAGAAAATATTCCGAACGTCAACACCCAGGATCGCTTGGAGAACCTTTAAGACATTTCGTATTACCATCATGCTGAAAACAGTTCACTGCTGCTGAAGATGTTTTCTTTAAACTGATTTTTTTATTTCCAGGATTATTTCTTTCTTAGGAAGAAAAAAAACAAACAAACAAACACTACGCCTGGTTTCACAGACAGGGTTTAGATTACACTAGTGCTGGGTTACACTAGTAATTTTTAATATACCGCTATACCGATGTATTTAATTACACAACTTTCGGAACAAACGTTACGCTGCGCGACACCGTTTCAGACGGACCCTTTACAATGTTGCACTTCTAAGAAGCGACGGTGAGGCGAGGGTAAACTGCAGTGCTCAGGTGTTACGTTACAGGGAAGCTGGATGCTGCAGAACTATGGCGTTATATTCCTGTTAAATGTTGAGAGCGCACAGAGAATCCTGCACTTAAAACGTGAATCTTGAATCTCTCCTCTTCCCCAGCTAACAATTTTAGGTTATAAAAACGTTTTCATAACGTTCTAGGAACATTCAAAATGTCATTCACAGTTTTTTTTAGACGTTGTATTAACGTTCTTGCTTGGTTATAAGAACGTTAAGAATTAACAATTTTAGGTTATACTGGGCGCTATTCTATTAAACAATATTCACTAACGACAATAAAATAGACCACCTTAAGTAAATTTATTGCAGTAATTCCTCTCTCAACCAGTAGAAAATGCTTTGATCACCTGATTATGCATGAAAAAAAACCCCGTCGTAAACCGGAAAACCGGCTTAATTTTGAAAAAAAAAAAAAAAAAAAAGTGATATCAATTTTTGGTCAAACCACCCAGCACTAGTTTACACCTTAGTTCAATTAGGACATTTCAGTAGCTTTCACAAGGAATAGAAAAAAACATTACTGATGTGTGCATCTTGACAAAACAACGGCACTGACATATTTTAAGATGTGCCGGTTCAAGTTGCTTTTTAGTTCAAAACGAGAACAAGAGAAATCACCTCGCTGTAAAAGCCAGTTGCTTTATGGATGGTGTGCCACAGTTCATTCACCATCTTCTTACACGTCTGGACACTCAGCGACTCTGCAGAATGACCTGACGACAAAAACAAACCATCCCATCAATCACTGTGGTTACATACAAGAAAAACAACCCTATGTTAGTTAGAATTCAGGCCTATAAACAGATTAACCAATGGCAAAAACCTGATTAAGCCAATAATCAGACAGCAGACATAAATATTAATTTGATTTTTAGCAACGTAAACAAGAATTTGGATCTGTGCACTTCTAGATGGAAGCATCTATTCGTATGTATTAAAGGAGTAGTTCACTTTAAAAAAAAAAAACTTTTGCTGATAATTTACTCACCCCCATTTCATCCAAGATGTCCATGTCTTTCTTTCTTCAGTCGAAAAGAAATGAAGGTTTTTGATGAAAACATTCCAGCATTTTCTCCATATAATGGACTTCATTGGGAACCAAACGGTTCAAGGTCCAAAAGACAGTTTCATTGCAGCTTCAAAGGGCTTTAAACGACACCAGACGATGAATAAGGGTCTTATCAAGCAAAACGATCGCTCATTTAAAAAAAAAAAAAATAAAGTTTAAAGTTTTATAAGCTCAAATGCTCACCTTGCTCTGTTCTGTGATGCGCGTTCGTGACTCTCCTGTTCGAACTCGTTCATCAAACTGAACAAATCTTTTTTTGTGGCATTTGGTTCATTCAACGAACGAAATGAACGAATTGACTCGGAAAAAGATTTGTTCATTTTGATGAACGAGTTCGAACAGGAGAGTCACGAACGCGCATCACAGAACAGAGAAAGGTGACCATTTGAGCTTATAAAACTTAAAACTTTATTATTATTTTTTTTTTAAATGAGTGATCGTTTTGCTTGATAAGACCCTTATTCATCGTCTGGAATCGTTGAAAGCCCTTTGAACAGTTTGCACTGAAACTGTCGTTTGGACCTTGAACCATTTGGTTCCCACAGTCCCTCCAGAAAAACGCGATTATGCGATCGCTGAATTCAATGCAAAATCAGCCAAAGTCCGCATATTTATGCGGGGGCCGCATTTTTTCAAATACGCCGCACTTTCGCCACATAAATTGCCGATTTCCTTGCAAAATATGCGGGGTTTGCATAATTTCATAATACTCCATAATCCATTTTCGTTGCAAAATAAGTCACACATGTATCTTAGCAGAAAGTTGAAAAATGTTGCGTTTGCTTCTCACAAGAGCAGCCATTTCCCCCTGTTTCCATGGGAACGTTATGAAGTGACGCAATTACGCGACGCCAGACAGACTCACGGAGGCGATTGACATCTCACAAATCGAACTCGTATAACTGTCCGTCACACGTTCTACCGTCACATCGTTACTTAATAAACAACACGAGATAAAAGAAGTAGCATCAAACAGAAATTACCCGCACACATGGGGTGTTCGAGGCGCACATATAACACTGCAGACAGTTCAACAGGAGCGCGCAGCTCTTAAAGGGGCCACACCTTATTTACACTCGTTACAGTCTGAAATAAAACAAGGTGAGAAATTAAATATTCCCAGCACTTTCTATGATGTAGTATGCTTGTTTATCAAAAGAAGTCATAAGAAATGACTCTTACATTAGCCTAGTGACAACAGGATGTTGGGGGAATCACTTTTTTTCTCTTTTTCATCAAACCGCAATTTTTGCAAGTTCCCTCAATTTTTGCGAATTCCTGCAATTTCATCGCATAAAATTGCATAAATATCCCGCATATTCCATTTTAAAGAAATTCCATTCATTATTTTAAAGAAAACGGGCCGCGCGATCAATCAATTTTTGCCTGCAACAATCACAAAAAAACTCCGCGTTTTTCTGGAAGGACTAATCGCAATTTTTTTCACACATTTTTGGAAATTACCACCACAAAATCAGTCATTTTGATCGCAAAAATCACAAAAAAAATCGTGAAATACTGGAGGGACTGCACTGAAGTCCATTATATGGAGAAAAATCCTGGAATGTTTTCATCAAAAACCTTAATTTCTTTTCGACTGAGGAAAGAAAGACACGGACATCTTGGATGACATGGGGGTGAGTAAATTATCAGCAAAAGTTTAAAAAGTGAACTAATCCTTTCAGCAATACTTCAGCATCTATGGAGTATCTCTTTCAGAACTAAAACTTATTTTAACAGAAAGCAACAGGGAGACCTTAAAGCTTCTTTGAAAATAGACATAGACGGGCGTTATAAACAACCGAAACTCTGAGACAGAGTTACACATTACCCGTGTTCTCCCCAAGGCAGTCGTTTCCTGTCGAATCCTCTCCGTCTGGAGTTACTGCGATCTGACCCGAGGACTGTGTGTTCTCACATGACCCTGTAAACTGCAGGTCTTCAACCACCGTCGACACTCTGGGCTTCCCGGAAAACATGTCATACCCTGTCGAGAACCTCCCTGAAGTCTTCGTGGGCAAACTCTGCTCAATATGAATGATCTGCTTCCGACACTCTTTCCCCAGTGACCGCATCTCAGTGGGCGTCACCAAAGCCTGTCGACACGGAGACCCGGTACCTTCAACTTTGCCCAGACGAGTCTTCAGCGACACCGGAGACAAACTGGCCCGGCTGGGGCCAACGAGGTCCAATCGAAGCGCTGCCCGGGCACTGTGGTTTCCCAAGGCCGGAGGCGGTCCCGAGGGAAGAGCCGAAGAGGGAGGAGGAACGATGTTCTCTTTGCTTTGCTCTACGGTCGGGTCCAGTGACGAGGACGGGGTGTTCAGCTGCGTTTCCTCCGACACACACACGTTCAGAGCCTCCACAGAGGTGCTCTGCGCGATCTTAGCGCGGGAGCTTGCAGTGGGTCCCATGTAGCTTTGGCGGGAACGGGTAACTGAGGCGTCTGCATCTTTGGTGTTGCTGGCAGATTTGGTGGCAAGAATTGTTGTGGCGTTGACAGTATTATTGACAGCTTTGGAATGGATGGTCTTGTTTGAGATTTCTGAAAATAACAAGACATATTTGGATTGGTGTACTTTTAATAAAACGTCTAACGTAGCTTTTAAAGCTGGTAGTTCAAACCCCAGTTGCACAAAGAAAACCAAGAACCACAAACTAGGAGATAAACACCAAGGCTGCGTCCGAAATCACTCCGTGAGTAGGTACTTCACGACCATTGGGAAAGGCATGTTCTTCTGCATAGAGCATGAATTTAACCTTGGCATACTACATCTGCCATGTTGTCATTGTCATGTGACCTACTAGTGTCAGTTGCACAGCTTTATTCCCATTCAAAAAAAATCATCTCCTTGGCCTCATGGGATAGTAGTGTCCAGTGAATACACACTCCAGACTTTCTGTGGAGATAACAGGACTTTCAGGGAACTTACGCCTACCGTTTAATGAATACTGTGAATTTGTAGCGTTTTTCATCTACTATAAAGTAGGGAAGTATGCGATTTGGGATGCAGCCAAAGACACCCATGTGAAATTATTCTGATCATTGACTTTAAAACCCCAGACATAACAAAAAAAAGACCACCCAAGACACTCTTACAGACCTCCCAGAGCATTTTTCCAGCGTAACAAAGATACGTTTTGGCAAGATTTCCGGGAAGACATCGAGGAGCGTTTCTTGGTAACTGGAGGACAAGATTTATAAAATTCAAAACGACTATAAAAGTGCCGGAGCATCCAATCTCTTCTTATTCAACAAAGTAAAGTATAGCTCCATCACTGCTCAAAAAAAAATAAATCAAAAATCATACTTTATGATGTTAGATAATAAAATTTAAATCAAGGAAACTTCTCTGGCATTTCTTTCTTTTTGCTGTATCAAAAAGTGTATCGTATCGAACCGTGAGTTTTGTGAACCGTTAGCCCTAGTTGACACTGAAGTTCAAATTGTAACAGACACGGACAATTTTGTTTCATGTTTAGTGCTATAAATCATGTTGCTTTAAAGCAATCTATTGCATAAAGTGCTTTCTTAACTGATTTTTTCTCACTGCTGTCATTTTTGTTGGATGTTTACTATCATTAGGGTTGGGTATCGAGAATCGAGTATCGATTGGAACCGAGACTAACTTTTCGTTTTTCCCGGAATCGTTCAAAAGTTAAAATTTCGATTCCTAGTTTCGATATATATATTTACAGTCCGCCGAGCGGAAGAAGAAACCGCTGAACAACACCAATGAAGAAGCGTCTACCGGAAGTGTTGGCATAACCACGCGAGTCGAACATGAGTAGCTTACGTCGGCGATCCAAAGTGTGGCTTCGCTTTTCTAAAAATAACGAAATCTCGGCAAAATGCAAAATTTGTGACAAAAGGAGTATTTTTACAGAAGGAGTATTTCCTTCAGAAAGACCGTTGGTTAGCAAGGTTAGCTAAACTTTTTTGACCCTGCCTCTTAAAAGAATCGGAATCGAGAATCGTTAGGAACCGGAATCGAAACAAGGAATCGGAATCAGAATCGTTCAAATTCAAACGATACCCAACCCTAACTATCATTAATCTAAAAGCATCTTGGGACAGCGTTGGATGTTTGCTAACAGTATACTTCTACTCTCTCTAGCTTTTTGCCAACATAAGGGTCTTGAACCTCCCTGTTTTTGGATCCTTTCACTCAGTCAGAAGTAAAATGCATAGTATTAAAAGGAAACGGGACATACCACTCTTCTCGTTCTCCTCAATGCTTCCACTATTGTTTGAAAGAAGCTTTGACTTGTCCTTAAAAGCAGGAGAAAAAGAAAAAATTACCAAAAAGTTCAAAAGACAGACAGTAATTCAAACTATTGAGTTCGACTGAAAAGTACTCTGAAAAAAAAAAAAAAGGTCAAAATCTCATCGTTTCTACTGACGTAACCAATAATATCATCGCTTACCTCCAAATGTTTAGCTACTGTATAGTTTTATTTAAACTAAAAGCCACACTACTTCTAATTCCTATGCTCTATCAGCTTTGAAGTCATCTTTACTAGAAGTGTAATCCTAAACATTGACAAAATTATCATATATACACTTGAGACTTAAAGGAATAGCTCACACAAAAATAAAATTGTAATTAACTTTATATGATGAACCGATTTAAAGGGTTAATGGGTTAAAGCCTTGTTAGTGGTATAAACTAGCGATTTCTTTTTACTTATTAAATGCCCCCATATACTAGTGTTATACACTAAACAGTTTTTAGAGATAAAACTCTTTACATTTCGATTATCATGAAAACAAATCTCAGAGAACGGTTGACTAGGTACCAATGTGTTATTAGGCCAAAGGTTCATTTTGCACCAGAGTTCTCAAAGGCCCAGAAAGGTAGTAATGTTGCATGAGGGTGAGAAATTAATGACCGAATTTCATCAAGAATTTTTAAACTGACCCTTTAATTGAACATTTTTAGGTGATTAATATTCTTCTGATCAACACACATCCTGTACATAGATCCCATTTGAGCTACTGTTCACCATATTTGATGATGCGCTCTATGTACAGTATGGGCATTGATCAATGTTTCAGAAGACTTGGATTAAACTGCTTAAAGGGATACTCCACTTTTTTTGGAAATAGGCTCATTTTACAACTCCCCCAGAGTTAAAAAGTTGAGTTTCACCATTTTCAAATCCATTCACCCGATTTTCAGATATTTAGAATATCAGTAACCAGACAGTTTCTGGTCTCATTGACTTCCATAGTAGGAAAAAAAATATACTATGGAAGTCAATGAGACCAGTCTGGTTACTGATATTCTTCTAAATATCAAAAAAAAAATCGGCTGAACACATTAAAAAACGGTAAAAACCAACTGTTTAACTCTGGGGGAGTGGTAAAATAAGCCTATTTCCAAAAAAAGTGGAGTATCCCTTTAATGTAGATTACTTTTTATTATGTAGTGTTATGATCTTGGTGGAATGGAGGGACTAAAATCATTCAGGTTTTAAACATCTTCACTTGCATTGCAAAGATGAATGCAAGTCTTATGGGTTTGAAAGACATGAGTAAATGACAGAACTATCTCTTTAAAGAGTTATGAAAACCTAAAATCACATTTTTGAGCTGCTAATAAACATAGAGGTTACACATGGAAAAATAAATGGCATCACACATTATTTTTAACAATAAAGGAGAAGTGGTTAAATTTAGGATTGCTTGCGCCATATTCTTCTGGCTTTAAAAACTAAAGCTGAAGAAATGTCACAATGACGTGGCATATTGGCGTTCAGTCTGAGTCCAGACCGGTATGAAGAACCAGCGGGCTCATATTGTATATACACACACCACTCGGACTCAAAGTACATGACATCATTCATGAGAGTGAGTATCATACCATTGTTGTGTCGAGGGTTTGGCAGCCGGCGCTGGACTCGTCAGGTATACTGGGCAGACCAGCCGCGAGCCGACACACAGCACTGCTACTAGACCCTACAGTGCTGAAACCAGACACACAAATTACATTATAATGCCATTTAAACTATGACTCGCCACTACAACACACACCGCTACTTCCCACATTTCATTAAGATCTAAAAAGGGAAGAGATAACTAGAAGTGCAAACTCATGTTTCTCCATTACACCGCTTGATGGCTGTGTACTCACCGGAAGCGGCTCTGGAAGCGGGAGAGGAAGCGTGTGGAGATGCTGAGGCGAGGATTGAGGAAGTTACCATCTGTGCCGCTGGGCTGCAGACAGCTCAAGTCTGTGTTGAACTTTTCTACAAGACAGTTTCCACAGCGGATTAGATCAGCAGTGATGGTTTCGACATCATCTTAAAGGATTAGTTCACTTTTGAAAAAACTTTTGCTGATAATTTACTCACCCCCATGTCATCCAAGATGTCCATGTCTTTCTTTCCTCAGTCGAAAAGAAATTTAGGTTTTTGATGAAAACATTCCAGGATTTTTCTCCATATAATGGACTTCAATGGGAACCGGATGGTTCAAGGTCCAAACGACAGTTATAACAGTTTCAGATGCAGCTTCAAATGTCTTTAAACGATATCAGACGATGAATAAGGGTCTTATCATGCGAAACGATCGGTTATTTCAAAGCTTATTCCAAAAATGTAACTTTTCTAAGGACAAATGCTAGCCTTGCTATATTCTCTGAGGCGCGTTTGTAACGTCACGTAATACGTAATTACGTTCAAAAGGTCACGGGCGACGTAGCCAGAAGTACAGAATCAAAATCGTCCGACATCGTTGTTTTACCTTTTAATTCCTTTTTTTGTAAACGGCGTTTGAGTTAGTTTCCACGTTCAACCTATGCGTTCAACTTGTAAACACTGACTCTGTACTTTCGGCTACGTCGCCCGTGACCTTTTGAACTAGGGGTGTCACGATTCTACAAATCCTCGATTCGATTAAGTTATCGATTCTAAGGTCACGATTCGATTCGATTCTCGATTTAAAAAAAAAATGTAAAGCGCAGATTGCTATGCAATTTTTAGACTACACATTTATGCATTATGCAATATAAATTTGTTTACAATGTACACTACACCATTGCCAAATTTAAAATATAACAAAAACAAGTAACATAACTTAGTAGTATAACATTTAAAGCCCCTGAAATGACTAGAAAAAAAGTTTAGTTAATTTTGATGAACGAGATTGAACAATAGAGTCAGTAAAACGATCCGAACTTTCCATCACGGACGCGACATGGGGCGTGGCAGTATCGACGATACCATTTTTTATTTCGATTTCGATACCATTGAATTAATTTCGATCGATTTCGATTTAATATCGAAATCGTGACACCCCTATTTTGAACGTAATTACGTATTACGTGACGTTACAAACGCGCCTCAGAGAATATAGCAAGGCTAGCATTTGTCCTTAGAAAAGTTACATTTTTGGAATAAGCTTTAAAATAACCGATCGTTTCGCATGATAAGACCCTTATTCATCGTCTGGTGTCGTTTAAAGACATTTGAAGCTGCATCTGAAACTGTTATTAACTGTCGTTTGGACCTTGAACCATCCAGTTCCCATTGAAGTCCATTATATGGAGAAAAATCCTGGAATGTTTTCATCAAAAACCTAAATTTCTTTTCGACTGAGGAAAGAAAGACATGGACATCTTGGATGACATGGGGGTGAGTAAATTATCAGCAAAAGTTTTTTCAAAAGTGAACTAATCCTTTAAGACTGGAATACACTACATGACTGAAGCGTCACAGTTTCCCACTGCAACGCAGACATCAGATTACAGTACGTCACAAACGACAAACACAGATTCAACATGTGGGGTAAACTGACCCAACAAAACCTTCAGTGTGTGTTGCAATCTTTCCATACAGTGTGAATTGGCCTATACACTAAACATGTACCCATAATACATTACGCAACTGTCAACTTTGCCTAATATCAGCAGACTGGGTCTGATTTTTGGCAACTAGCGTTGACAGTAAGTTTATGAAGCCCTTTGAGAGACGCTTAATATGTGAAAAGATAAGAATCATGCCTAGCAAACATGACATTTTTGAAGTTGCTTTAACACAGTAGGGCACTTCAGACCAGCACAAGAGCTGAAGTTGTACCATTAGCAGCCACACCCAGAGTGTCGAAATGTTGGCGAAGCAGCGTTCCAGACTCTTCTTCATCCTCTTCCTCTTCCACTCCTGAGCTTCCCGTGGAGCTCACCTGACTGAGGGAGTCTGTGTCCTCTAGAAAAACAACAGATAAAGTCACATCAACAGGAGGATCTTCAACTCTTCTAGTGTGTTCTAGTGTTCCCGCACACAGCGTGTGATGTCACGTACGGTCATGGGGCTGGTCACTGTGGGAGGCTGGACTCTCAGCAGAGCAAGCGCTATCTGGGCTGAGCTCCTCGTCCTCAGGGTCACCACCTGACCCCTCACACAGAGCTTTGACATCGAACTCTCTAAACAGAAGAAAAAAACAACAACAAAAGATTGATAATACGTTAAAAAGAGACTTTCATAATAGCAGTGTTTAGTTTACTATGGGAAAAAAATGGGAGGAACAGGGTTGCAAGACACCGTCACAATTGGTCAGCTCCAAAAAGTTAGCTTGGCCCCATTTAGAGCTTGAAACCAGCTCACCCACTTTTTTTTATTAATTGTGCAAAAAGAAGAAGTCCTTTATTTATATAGAGATTTTTACAATACAGATAGTTTCAAAGCAGCTTTACAGTGATAACAGGGAAATAATGCAACAAGGTTTGTTTCTAGAAAAAAATACCATCATAATCCAGCTCAGGTAAGTTCAGTGATGGTTCATTTTTGTTGTAAAAAAGTTTAGTTCATTTGACGAACACCGTGATGTAATCATCCAGCTCAGTTCAGTTCTGATATAATGGTGTCAATGCAGGCAGATCAATAATACTGTTGAATATTAAAGGGAAAGGTACCTTTGAAATTAATTTTCGAAATGTTTTAGCTTACCTCAAGGGCATCCAAGATGTAGGTGTCTTTGTTTCTACGGTATTTTCAATTTTGATATTTTTAGGTCAAACCGTTCTTGTCTGTCAGTGATATAATGGAGGTCTATGGTCACCACCTTAAAGAGCATGCACAGAGAAGTCCAGATTGAACATGCTTTAATGACTCGTACATGCAAGTACACATTGATGGCCTAAGACACGAAACGAGCGGTTTGTGTGAGAAAACGGACCGTATTTATTTCGTTTTTACCTCTTGTAACCACAGCCATGTCCAACTGATGTGAAGGCACGGGCGCTTCAGTCTGCGCAAGTAATGGAAAGCGCCGGAAGTGATCTCTCGTGCGATTGTGGGGAGAAAAAAAAATAAAAAAAATAAAATAAAAATTGTCTGTTGATGTATTGAAATCGTCTTCCATTGCAATTTCCTGTATATCTAAATATGTTTAGATCAGGGGTCTCAAACTCAAATTAACTGGGGGCCGCTGGAGATAGAGTCTGGGTCAGGCCGGGCCGCATCAAGTATTACAAAAAAAAAAAAAAAAAATTGTATTTAAGTATTCCAAAAATGGAGCACAACTGATCCAATCTTCTCAATCTTTATTATTAACGTTTCTTTTGAACTGTTCCTGAACTGTTTGAACATCCTTTCTGTACATGATTGGTTCTTCATGAGCTGTCCTTCTGACAGTTGAAGTTCATTTTACAAACTTTCTGTCTTTTTCTTATACACAACATCTTCGTGATGATAGTCAAATTTGCTTTTTATTTTCTTTATACAACACTATTATATTGAATGTTTTTTTTCTTTTTTTTCCTAAAGGCACATTTCCTTTTATTATACTTAGAAAAACAATTACTGCTTTTGAAATACAAATAATTATTTCTACACATGTATAGTGTCTCTTTTTTACTAAAATTACTGACTTTGCACATATCAAAGCAAACCTTCTTATCAACCTGTTGGACCAAGTTCATTACATGAACTAGTTCAAAGTTCAGTTCACAAATTTTAAAATGGACTAGTTAGTTCTTTTTTTCCATATGTTGCTGCGAGCTTCTTTTTTATTATTATGGTATTATTATTGCCACAGCCCATATACAACCACAGATAACAATAATTTTGTCGACGGGCAAAGTTTGCACAGTAAGATTTTCCCATCCTCGCCGACCTCATAAAAGCCTTTTAAATGATCTTACGACGCCTCCTCGCTCCTCCGTTCACAGACACTACTAGAATGAACGAGTTCACTGTAACTTTCATCAGGCAGTAATACAGTAGGCTACGTTCAGTTCACGTTCGCCCAAAATATGAACGAGATCATGAACTATATCTTTCATTGAACGCGTTCAGACACAACACATATTACAAGCTCAAAATGATTATTCTCACATTGTTTTAGAGCAGGGGTATCCAACACGTCGCTCGCGAGCTGTGGCCTGATTTGGTGGTGGTAGCTCGCCTTGTTCACATATCGCGCTCACATATTTTGCACGCTCAAGTACGTACGTTTCAGATGTAGGCGCGCATCAAGCGCCCTCATAATTGAAGCGACGCGCTCATTTTTTCCAGGCGCAGTATATTTGTACTTCGTGGTTGTCTATGACAACTGACAACAAACCCACCGTAAGCTGTCACGAGACTATATATGGTAGCCCATAAGGGATAAAAATATTAATAATAAAAAAACGCGGCAAACGCAATGGCGGGCCGCACTAACATTCAACTTTAATATCAAGTAGGGGGCCACAAAATATCATGCGGCCCGCGGGCCGCGAGTTTGAGACCTCTGGTTTAGATCTTCACAGTGAAGGATAACACTTCCGAAATCTCAATGAATGACGTGCACGCGCGAGAGATCACTTCCGGGGCTTTCCGGCGCTTGCGCAGACAGAAGCGCCCTCAGAGTATAATGGACATGACTGTGATTACAAGAGGTAAAAACGATATAAAGACTGTTCGTTTTCTCACACAAACCGCTCGTTTCGTGTCTTAGGCCATCAATGTGTACTTACATTTACGAGTCATTAAATCATGTTTAATATGGACTTCTCTGTGCATGCTCTTTGAGGTGGACCCCATAGGTCTCCATTATATGACTGAAAGACAAGAACGGTTTGACCTAAAAATATCAAAATTGAAAATACTGCGGAAACAAAGAGGTAAGGTAAAACATCAAAAATGTATTTCAAAGTGAACTATCCCTTTAAGTGTCCCCAACTAAGAAAGCCAAAAGCGACAGTGGTACTGGCAAGGAACCAAAACTACATCAGGTGACTTAAAGGTACATCGAATTAAATGAACTAAAATGTCACTCAATGTGGGGGACTGGTAACGGTAACATCAAGCCAACATTGGGATACCCCAGGACTTGATACTTGGACCACTTCCTTTGCAGTATTCACCACTATGTCACTAACTCATCATCCAGACATTTTCCAATAGTAAAACAAAACAAATTGCATCGAAGCAATTCTCATTTTGCTGGATAAGCATCTGCTAAACGAATAAATGCCAACAAATCTACTCCCAAAATGGAAAATGAACCACAGCCAGATGTTGTCATAAGCGATTTACCCTTCTCCAGTGGATAGAGCAGTGCTGTTGGCAGGGTACAAAATGTATCCAGTCTTCTCTGGTGAGCTGTGCTTGGGATTGAAGTTCTCCTCGCCTTGTGGCATCTGCAGAAAATCTGGCCCTTGGAGAGAAGAGCTAAACCCATGTCTGGAAACCTACAACAAATAAACAAACTCCTTCATGTTTCAGTTAGAGCAGCAGACGATTATGTGGTTACAATCGTTAGTGAAGTTACACTTGTCAAGACGAGCTTTCTTTGAGCAACAGATTTTAGGTTGTTTGTCCCACTAGATGGCTTGACATATTACTCTCCAATATCCACATCACAATAAGCCAGGGATAAAAGACCCAAGAGTACCAAACTTTTTCACCAATACATTTCCATGTTTTTTCCTTTCAGGAGTTCATGATCAGTTGTTAAAGGAACAGTTCACTTGAAAAACAAAACTGTCTGGTTACCAACTTTCTTCAAAACATCTTCCTTTGTGTTCAACAGAAGAAAGAGGCAGATTTTTCTTTTTTAAGTGAACTGTTCCTTTACGGATTGAACAAATATTTATTATTACCATTATTTAAATGTAAGCTAATTCAATTTAGGCAAACAGAGCAGGCAAGACAGAAGAGAGCTTTTCTGGAGTGATTTCACCGTTCTAAATGACTTGTCGGTAAACAAACATAATAAAAATGACACATTCAAAAAAGACGAACTGTCAGCAGTTTTAAGGAGTTTGATTCATAAATTGTAAGATCATGATGATGACACTGCTCAAGCAAAATGAACAAAACTTACACTGCAAATTTTGTCCTCTTCCTCTAGATCATCGTCTTCGACGCCTTCATCCAACAGACTATCCAAACTCTGTGGGTGGAAGCGAGAGTCTTCCTCGAACTCGTCGTCTCCCACGGCTCTGCTGGGAGTGTGTGACAGGGGAAGCTGCATGCTCTTCATCTCCAGTACGGTGCGGATGGCTAGTGGATCTGACTGCACTGCCCAGCGTCCCTGAGGCTGGTACTGAGCTCGATTATCTCTGCCACTGCCATCATTCTCACCTCCTCCACCCTGCGATATCAAGCAGATCCATTAGTCATGACTGAACTCAATATACAGAGACATTTAATGAGAACAGGAACATACGTACCAGTCTGCGCACCCACATGGGCATTTTGCCATTGGTTTGGAGCACCACAGAATCCAGAGATGCTAAAGTGTAACAGTCAAGACCATTAAATACAATTTTAAACAGAATTAAAAACATTTTGCTTGTGAAATTAAAAAAAAAAATTGGGCCCAATGATTCCCACCATGTGTAAAACACACTGTTAACTCCTGTAATTTTTTTTTCTGGACAAATAAATCAAAAGTAGGGCTGTGGAACAGTGTCTGAATATTAACATGCAAAAAGACAGCCATTTAAAAAGTGTTATTTTAGTGGTTTCAGCTGATTACATTTTAAAATATTAATTGTTAATGCTTTAATGCCTTCATCTGATTACCACTGTTTTTAAACTTTTGTATTAAATCATGAATCCAGAAAAATCCAAACACAACACAGAATTTCTGAATGGCCCTATTATTGTAAAAAAAAAAATCATCGTTAAATCTTTTAAGTTTGAGGAATTAAATTTATTAGAAATGCTTTTTGATTAGAAAAATTAAACCATTAAAACAGAAAACAAGTAAACAGATTTCATGGAGCCTGAAAATTTAATTTTTCTGAAACTTTTAATAAATTGTTAAGCTGATTTCCATTAATTAGACACGTTTTTTATTACTTAAATTTAAATTCAATAATTAAATTTATTAGAAATGCTTTTTGATTAGAAAAATTAAGCCATTAAAACAGAAAACAAGTAAACAGATTTCATATCACCTGAAAATTAAATTTTCTGAAACTTTTAATAAATTGTTAAGCTGATTTCCATTAATTAGACACGTTTTTTTATTACTTAAATTTAAATTCAATAATTAAATTTATTAGAAATGCTTTTTGATTAGAAAAACTAAAACCATTAAAACAGAAAACAAGTAAACAGATTTCATATTGCCTGAAAGTTTAATTTTCTGAAACTTTTAATAAATCGTTAAGCTGATTTCCATTAATTAGACACGTTTTTTTTATTACTTAAATTCAATAATTAAAATAAAGAATTTGGGGGAAAAAGGGATTTTTCTTGGGCCCTAACGTGATGTGATGGAGAGGCCCAATAACACCAGAGAAGAGCCCCATCAACGCACCATCTGTGGAGTCGAGTCTGTCTGGAGTCCTGCAGTCGTCCACAGCATCTTCTGGATTCTCCTCCTCCTCCTCTTCCTCCATGTGAGGCAGGGCAGTGCAGGGCACAGCGATGTAGGTCTCTCTCCTGAACAACGGCCATTTAAAAGAGAGTCAGGTAGTCATTCCCATTTTTGAGAAGATATCAGTTTTTAAAGGTCCCCTGACATGAAATTTTCACTTTCTGAGGGTTTTTTTTAACATTAATATGAGTTCCCCTAGCCTGTACATGTTCCCCCAGTGGCTGTAAACCAAGCTTTGGCTATCTTTCTCTGCCTTTGAGAAAATGAAAGCTCAGACGAGCTGATTTCATTTTATTTTCTTTGGAAATGCGCCAGCACAACTTCCCAAAGTTTTGTATGGTCCAAATTATTTGTATGCCACAAAACTCAGACAAAGTAAATGTGACAGCACCTTAACCTCAATATAGTTTTGTTTTTACACTGCCCACCCCTAGATGTTTGCAAAAAACCTTTCGCTATACACAAATCACACATGCTGGGTCTAATCACTCAACCTGGGTCTACGCAAACACCTCCATCGTGAACATTCAGGCAGAGATCAGATTTGCAGTTTTCATAAATGACTCTACCTGATGGCTTCTTGTTTGCTGGGGGCCCGTTGAACCCTCAGGCCTGCTTTCTGCTTTCTCTCCGCCAACCTCTTCCTCATGGAGTTGGTCATCTGAGAGTCCAGCCGCCACACAAACACACAGCTGGACACGCAAACACACATTACACTGTGATCCGAATCAGAGTGTGGTTTTAACACACAGCAGAGAATATTTTCAAGAAAGAATTTGAAGGGTTGCTCCTAATGTGAGTATAGAATATCAAAATGTCACAAAAGCATTTCTATTACTCTCTAATATACTTTAGCCATTTAACATAGCTTGTGCCTTTCAGCATATGTGGCTCAAAATGTACATACTACTCTCAGTAGCTTAAAGGGTTAGTTCATGAAAAATGAAAATTAAGTCATTAATTACTCACCCCCATGCTGTACCAACCCCGTAAGACCTTCGTTCATCTTCGGAACACAAATGAAGATATTTTTGATTAAATTTGAGAGCTGTATAACTACCACATTGGCTCCTAAAGGACTGCCTCTTGACGGCCCAGAAAGTCAATGAAGAAAATGTTTAAATATCCCAAGTGACTACCGTGGCTCAACTATATGTTTATCAAGCGACGCGAATACTTTTTGTGCGAAAAAACAAACAAAAATAACGCATGTTATTGACCAATTGACGCATGCGCGAGAATTGCGATCTGAAGTAGTGTAAGCAGATCGCAATTCTCGCGCATGCGTCGTGGAAATCTAAGGAAATCTCGTTTCTGGCCTACAAGGAAGAAAAGAAATAGTCGAATAAACTCGATATTTTTGTTTGTTTTTTCGCACAAAAAGTATTCGCGTCGCTTGATAAACATATAGTTGAGCCACGGTAGTCACTTGGGATATTTAAACATTTTCTTCATTGACTTTCTGGGCCGTCAAGAGGCAGTCCCTTAGGCAGCCAATGTGGTAGTGATACAGCTCTCAAATTTAATCAAAAATATCTTCATTTGTGTTCCGAAGACGAACGAAGGTCTTACGGGGTTGGTACAGCATGGGGGTGAGTAATTAATGACTTAATTTTCATTTTTGGGTGAACTAACCCTTTAATGTAAAATATAATATAATTTTTATATAATATATATATATATATATATATATATATATATTAGGGCTGTCAGTTTAACGCGTTATTAACGGCGTTAACGCAAACCCATTTTAACGGCGTTATTTTTTTTATCGCGCGATTAACGGTCTTTTTGTCCAAGCAAACTTTGTAGTTTTTTCACATGCTTTTGCAACAGGATGCGGCATGCGTCCGATCCATTTTGGCGTCTCGGGCTCGTCATCCACTCAAAGGCGGCTCGCAAGCCCAAACGTGTGTTTCCGGCGTGCCTGTTTTGTTTCCGGTCTAGATCCGCTTGCGCTTTGGTCGAAAAAGCAACAAAACGTCCTCGCGCTGCGTTCTGAAACCCATTCATTTCAATGGCTTGCGCCGTGCGAGGACGTTTTGTTGCTTTTTCGACCAAAGCGCAAGCAGATCTAGACCGGAAACAAAACAGGACGTTTTGTGCCGCACACACTCGTTTCGACTTGCGAGCCGGCCAAATAGTAACGTTGCGTTTTGAGTGGATGACGAACGCGAGACGCCGAAATGGATGCCCTAACATTCTGAATGGAAAGTTTACTTTTAAAAAGTTGCCAAATTGTCCCATTGACAAGACCAAAGTGATCTGTGTGTTTTGTCGTTGTGAACTGAGCTATCATCATCGCAGCACGTCCAGTCTGAAACATCACTTGATGATGGCCAAGCAAACACACACACACAGATGATGCGAATTCTCCACCCCCTCGTCAATATCAGGACCTCGTCAGTATTTCTTTCACCCTTTTATTGATAGACAGTGTTCCATTGTGAGAGAGATATTTTATATGTGTTAGTGTGAAATTGAACACTATTCCAATGTTATTTTCAATAATAATAATAATAAAACAAGCCACTAAACAAGCCAATCCACTTTTATCCATGTTGATAAGAGCATTAAAATGAGAAAAAAATAATGTAACAAAAAGAAATCATAAGACATTTAGAATAAATAAAAATGTGCGATTAATCGCGAGTTAACTATGACATTAATGCGATTAATCGCGATTAAATATTTTAATCGTTTGACAGCACTAATATATATATAAAAAAAATCATAATCTATACAAAAGCATGGTATTTATTGATTGCAAAAAGCTTGACGTTGAACGTTCAGTGATCAATTTATTAAATCATCGCCTATTGAAGTTTAATAATCACATGAACTGCATGATGATTTCTGTTTATCCATGCCCAAATTTAAGACCCTTTAAAATGATAATTAAGACTTTTCTTATAAGATTTAGGATATTCAAGGCTTTTTACAGCTTTAAATTTGATTAGACAAAACTTTAAGGAGCCACAGGAATCCGTCAATCCACGCCCATGATTTATATCGGATTAAAATGTAAAAATATTTAAGAGGTTAAATACTGTAAATACTTTTTTTTTAATACTGTATAAAACAGTTTCTTGAAAAATCAGAAATACAATAAATAAAAAAAGTAAAGGCAACATTTTAAAGATGTACCTGTCACCAGATACAGTGATCAGATGCCGGCAGTCCCGGCTGAATTTCATTCCTGTAACAATTTCTGAGGGAGAATAAAAGTTTGGTCAATAACAAGGCGACCCCAAAAAACTTTTAAATAAATATAAATACATTTATATATTTTTTTTTTTATACATCCATATTTCTGAATAGTAAGAATGAAATCATTGGTTAAGAGAAATACACGTACCCGAATGTCCAAATAAGGTGGCCACACATTCGCCTGACTCATAGTCAAAGATGCAGATATTTTTGTCTGAACAACTGGTGGCCAGAAACATCCCAGAGGGATCCAACTGGACCTGAGAGGAGAAACACAACCTTATTGCCAACAAATGCAAAGGGTTTTAAAACAGAACTTGCTCTGGTAGTCAGTTACACAATAAACAGCATTACAAACACACACACACACACACACCTTGAGCAGTGTGCCATCATCATTCAGGGAGCCCTTGAAACACTTTTTCATCTTGCCACTCCTCACATCGTACACTCTGAAAATGCAAAAGAACATATTAATGCATATAAATCTTTGAAGATTTGCTTAAAAGAAGACAAATAATTTTTGTAGAAGTTCACAGTGTAAGCGGTAGTGACGCCTCACATGAAGCCCTACCTAATGTTGCGGTCCTGGCACGCAATGGCCGTGTGTGTGCGTGTGGCGTCCAGGTCCATGTCATACAGTGTGGTCTTCTCCACTATGTGATGTGATCGTGAGAAGTTCAAGCCCTCTGAGGTCTTTGAGAAGACACAAAACAACAACAGTCAGAAAGTACATGTGAAAAAGTGACATTAAAAAGGCACATTAATAAAAAGTCAAGCCAAGAAATCTATTTGCATGTTCATTTTTCAGATTAGCCCTCTGACACATGATGTCCACTACAGCGGACAGGTCTTTTAAAGCCTTCGACCATTTAGTTTATTCCCCTCCATTTAAAATCACATTAATAATTTATTAGGTAAAATGTATTTAAAATGGTTTAAGTTGAATGATTTAAATTAGTAAGACATGCTTTATTAAAACATTAGCAAAAATAAAATTAGGGCCCTATGATGTATTTTTCCTCATATTTAGTATTTATTTCTGTAATTTAACTATTTATATTATCCTAGCATACATTAAGTTTTAAAAAAGTATATATACAATATACATTATATTAATTTATTTAAATCATTAAGAATTTTTTACTCTTTCCCTTCTTGATTCAATAACTGATATATCAGAGGGTAATAAATTGATAATATAAATTAAGAAAATAAACTAGAATGTGGAGTCCATGGCATATTTAGCCTGCATAATTGTTGTTGAATATCTCCAAGTGCATGATCATATTTCGGATGATCATCTATCCGAGCGAAACCTCTCTGCTGTAGATATACAAGATACTAGGGCTGGACGATTTTGTCTAAAATCATAATCGCGATTAATCAAACAAGTTACCTCGATTACGATTATTGAACAATTATTTTATATTTTTTTTCTTTCATGTCACTGGCAAGGCTTATACTATAAATATGTTAATATTTTGTCTAATGAAAGAGTGCATAATCCCATCTTTGTGATTCTAAAATAATGAAAAACAGATGAATATATAATATGAAATATTTCAATTTTTGGTCCCACTTTATATTAAGTGGCTTTACGTACTATGTAATTACACTGAAATTAATAAATTGATAGAATGGACTTATTGTGTACATACATGTTTTTACATTGTACTTACATTTTAAAATTCCAGCATGTACTTACAGCTATAATTAACTTATGTAATTACATTTGTAATTACAAAGTTGACCCTCCCCTCACACCTTAACTTACCCTTAAACCGACCCATATCACCACACCTGTCCCTAACCTTACCCGTATCACACCTCAATAGCAGCAAAAGTGTTTTACAATACAACAGGAACACAATAATACATTGTACTTATTGTTCAATGTAAGTACATAGTACTTAAAGCCACTTAATATAAAGTGGGACCCAATTTTTTTTTAAAAATGTAAAAAATACTTATTTTCGAAGTAACGTTTCTTTTTTTTTTTTTTTAAGGGGAAAGTTTATTAAAACACCGTGGACGGAAATATTAATAGGATTCAAAAACCAAAATAACAGACATGGTAAAATTACGTCGGATATAGGCTCTGAATTTCGGGTTCGATTAATCGACCAGCCCCACAAGATAGCTCAATAACATTATAGCAGTAACGCTAATCTGAACGGTAACCACATCCTGCTCACCTTCTCAGCAGATCGAAAATAGATGCTCTTGTCAGCGCCACAGCTGACCAAACACAACTCTGAATTCAGACCTGCAAAAACACATGCATGAAAGACAAGAAATGTATGAAAAGTCCGAATAGCCGAAAGAATTGGAGACCGGCGGCAACGGACGTTGAGAACCGACCTGTGAATTTGATGGCAGTGATGGAGGCCGAATGATCGTAAACCGTCTGCACTAGGTTGCATTTCTTCTCCACGTCAAAGATGTGAATGAGCCGATCACGACTTGCAGAAGCCAACAGATGCAAACCTGACAGGACAAACACACTCTTCTGCACTGTAGATAATGACAATTTGCTGTGTTTTACACTACAGTGAGCCGATCAGCATGTCTAATGGTGCATTCACACTGGACGCTAATAGCACGTCAGGCGCGAATGATTTAAACGTTAAGTCAATGCAAAGACGCGTTACGCGGGACAACAGGTCATCAAACTGGGTGCGGGACAGGCGGAAGTACATCGATGACACCGGCCGTCATCCAGGTGCAGCTCCAAATGGTAAAACTCACAAAACGGTTCGCCTCCAAAGTGGACACAAATACGGCGACGATGATGCCCATGTCGCTGTTCTGCTCTCCAGAGCAAATACAGTGTGGTGAATCTCTTGATGAATGCTCGACCAACATAAAAAAAGATGGCCGTCAAGAGACGGGCGTAAATTTCACTTCAAACTTTTGATTTTACGCACGTCAGTTTCGCTCGGCGCGCGAATTAAAACAGAGCGCAGAATAACACTAGTATTTCTCCTCAAACTTAGAGTAACTTCACCAATTTTCAACCCACTTTGTATTGTGATGATAATATCAGTAGTGTATATATATATATATATATATATATATATATATATATACAAAATACAAAGGAACAATGTTAAATACTACTCCGTGTTGAGAAAAAACACGTAATCGTAAAAACGTAAAAAATGTAATCCGGCAGACTTTTGAAAGTTCTCGTGAAAATTTCGTATCCCCGGTCACAGATCGTCTGAGGGTTATTAACAGAACAGTTATTGTAAGGGTAGGGTTATCTCTGAAAATGGTAACATACTGTATTACATTAAAATTCAGAATTCAACTCTTTAAACAGAATTATGGCAGAAAAGGAACAGCATGACAACAGCTTTCTTTCTGCATGCGACTTTTGAGTCGGGCCAAAGTGACAGAAGAATGGCAGTTTCTTTCAGTTGTTCCCCTCCTTTTGGCATAAGACGTTCACCACAAGCACTGAGGTTTTTTTCTTTCCGTACTCTGCTCAGCTTTAAGCCACTGCCCACAACACGCTGGCAATGAAAGCTACTAAGGGTGTCACAGAAATTAATTCACAATCTCGAACTTCGAATTAAAAAAAAAATGGAATCGTCGATCCAGCCACGCCCCCGCGTCACGTCCGTTCGGCTTGCCAATTGCAAAAAACACTTGTGTTGAAGTGCTGCAAGTGCATGGTCAACCTCCTCTAACTTAAAAGTCGACACCATTATGACCTAAAGTTTGCTAAGAGGAATTTCCTACTAACGTATTTGACTCTGGTCAAGCGTATCCATAGCAGACCGATGGGAGTGGCCTCAGTCAGCAGCATGTCCAGTGCATTATGGGTGTTTTCCTACCTCTTAGGCAAAAGAGCCTTTTTTCTCAGTTCTCTCTGGTAAGTTAGCACCAAATTTATTACTGAATAGGCAGACTAGTTTTACTGAAAGCTCATTTTGCCAATGACAAAGTAACCCAGTAAAGTAGTTGCGCATTACAAAAATATGCATTTGTAATTAAATAAAGGCTCACTGACCGGTCTCAATAGGAGAGAAGGCTAGACACAAGACCTCCGAATCATGAGCCTCGATTTTCAGCAGTTCGTCCATAAACTGCAAGCCGAAGATCCTGAAGAAGAGACCATTGCTTCAGCATATATACATATAGATGTAGGATTTGGGTCTCTGCACAGACGCCTCATTCCCCTCACCTCAGGTTCCCACTGCGGTCTCCAGCTGCCAAATGCTGTCCATCTGGGCTGATTCCCATCACCCTGATCCCAGATTTACCATCCTGGCCTCCTCCCTCAGCTTTCTCAGCCTCAGCTTTGAGGTACTGCGTGTCATCATCCACATATACTATCCTTACGATGTCCTGGAACATGTTCACAAACAATAAACCAATGAACTCAAGACGACACCGGCAAACCATTCTGTCAACGTTTACTCTTTGTTCCTCCATATGAATCAAGTGGATTAATCCAAGTCCTCTGAAGAGACAATTTATATGATGAAGGCCTTTATTAACCCCCTGGAATCGTATGCATTACTTTTAAATCTCAGGTAATATTCACTCCGATTTTAAAGCTTGGAAGAGCCAGGATATTTTTGAATATAACTGTGTTCAGTTGAAAGAAGAAAGTCCTTTTTGAAAGCGTAGGATGGCTTGAGGGTGAGTAAATCATGGATAGTTTTCATTTTTAGGTGAACAAACCCTTTAAGGATACTCAACCCAAGGCATCAAACTGACGTCAAAGGAGGAACGCCATTCCAGAGCGGAAGGACATTTTCAGATTTTGATTAAAGACAGAAAAAAAAAAATAGTTTGTGTATTAACTTGCATTAATTGTTCACCACAAGACTAATAATATGAGCTAACAAAGTAAATAGGGTCAGTTTTGACTTTAATATCTTAATTTGTGTTTGAAAGATGAACAAAAAGTCTTTTGGGAGGACATGAGGGTGGGTAACTGATGACTAAGACTGTGAACATAATGTCATGAACCCTAAGTATTGCATTTGTTCAAGCAATATTATTAGTTTTGGTAAAAGAGGCGCATTAGTAAAACTAAGCGCATTACCGGTGTTCTGTCGATTTTTGCTGCCTTGTCGAAAAATGCTACCGTAGCGCGAATTGATCACAGAATGCCGATTAAAGTCGTATGAAATACAATTCTAATACAATTCTAAGTTATGAGTAGCTACTGTATACTGTAGACTACTGTTTTATTTTTAAAACGGTGTGAAAAGTAAAAATTATCATAAAATATTCATCTTTGACTTGTCAAAGTACACCTTTTCTTCTAGTAACTGAAACTTTCAGTTATTCCTTTTCAGCTGTCTGACCGTACAAATATTCATATGGTAGTAAGCATTTTTTAAAGGGAAATTATACATTATAACAGGAAAATGTACCTTTTGTAAAAAAAAAAAAAAAAAAAAAAAACTGTGAGTCTGCACATGCGCATAACCGGTAAGTAGGAAATCACGATGGGTAGCATGAATTGTCAGAACACCGGCAATCACACTCCGAAATTCAGGCACTGATTAAACATGTATTCTATTTTACAGATATTTGTGAAACCAATTTCCATGACTTTTCCAAAAACTTTCTGGTTTATTTATTTTCCCCAAACCATACGAACCCATAACAAATAAATAAAAAGACGAATTATGAAAATATTTGTTGAAAACTGTGATGTCCCGCGGCCGCCCCGGTGGAGTCTAACAGTAGTGCGTGTACGTAATAATCTTAGTCATTCAATTTTTAAATCACGTCTTAAAACTTTTTTTTTTTTTTAGATTAGCCTATACTGATTGATTTTAGTAATGTTACTGGGAAAATTGATTTTACAAAATCACTTCTTTTCCGTTTTTGTATAATTATGCATTTTAGTTTAGTTTATAATGACGTGGACTAGGGCTGGGCGATATGGCCAAAAAATCATATCTCGATATTTTTTGGTCAAATGGCGATATACGATATATATCTCGGTACTTTCTATGTTTTCTAATCTTTATATTTAAAAAAAAAATAAATAAAATAAATAAATAAATAATATATATATATATATATATATCACATTCGGCCCAATGATATCCTACAAACAATGTTGATATTGAAGGATATGGAAACAAATATAATATAGGCTATGCAATATATTATGTACAAAAAGCTTTTGTTTTTATATTGACTAAAAGCTAAACTAAAAATGAAAATAAAAACAAAAACAAAAGCACAAACTAATTATATTAGCCTGCATTTGATTACCCCATTATAATCACTTTCATTAAACATATATACTTGTATGTTTAAAATTCCACATATGGCACATTTATTTTCTCCAACAACAAATATTTTAGCAATATGTTTATTTTAGTCAGAATTATTGCGTACTACGTAGTACTATTCACGCGCATGCGCGTGCCGGCGCTCGTTCAAGGAAGCATGAATTTTAGCGGAGATTCACTTGCAGAAGCTCGTCCTCTTCTGACATGGACATATTTGTTGTGAAATGGACATATTTGCTTTACTTTCTAACATTTACAGATGGAGAATATACCTGTGAAATGTAAGTTGAGCACTGAGGAAAGCACCACATCTCAAACGCATTAAACAGCGCAAGTATATCTGTCAGTCAGCAACAGTGTCTGTCAGAGCATTTGACAGGGCGGCAAGCTGCCTTAAACTTGTTAACTATATCAAAGTGATTTTGACGCAATTAATATAAGCTTGTGTCATGTTTAGGACAAATTTACTACGTAGCCTTGCTACTTTCACTGCAGCAGCTCACACTGCAACCTCCGCTATTTTTCAGATGTGCTCATATCAAACTACTGTATCGATATAAACGGTATTGCCTCATTCCATATCGTTTCAAAAAACATAACGATAGATCGTACATACTCGATATATCGCCCAGCCCTAACGTGGACAGCTCCTTTTGATTAAAAGAGCAGCTTTAACCCCTACTGCTAATTTCCAGCTGTAGTCCCCGGCAGTTGTCAATAGGCATACATCAATATTAATACAATTATATTTAGAGCAGGACTTGTCAAGAGGGGACAGACATACTAAACATGAGGCCACATTGAAGCACATACTGGACATAACATTGAGGCAGGCAGCATGATCATGTCACATTAAATACACAACACATCTGTCAAATTAATGTGTGCAGCTGTAATTGTCAGACAGCCATTTTTTAAGTGTATAGTATAGGTGGAATACGCATGTTATATCTTTATAATATATTTTATTATTGTAAGGTGTCCTTGAGTGTCTTGAAAGGCGAAATAAAACGAATTATCATCATCACCTGGCTGTAGAGGTTGTGTCGAAGGCCGAGAGCCGAGCCGTGACTCTGCGGCGACTCACTTTTCCACAGGCGGATGGTGTTATCGGATGAACAGGTGAGGAAGGATCCGGGCGACAGACATGCTGATGAATCTTCAAGATCAGGGTAGGTCTGCAGAGGATATTATGCATTCATAAACTGGCCTTGTTCTGATAACCTAAACATGAGCTGGTCTGAGATACGCACCTCCACACTCCACACACACCCGCTGGGTACAGAGCTGAATACACCTTCCCAACATTGCGAATGTCCCGCACGTCCCACACGTACACACTATGGTCGTTATACACACACGTCAAGTGCCTGGTCACAGGGTCAAAGGTTAAAGCCAGGGTATCTGGATACTGTGCTTCTGGGTTTGCACCGAACAAATGCCTATGAAGAGAGAAAAAAATTACATTGAATGTTTAACAAAAAAAATGTTTGAACAATCACACAATCGAGATAATTCAAAACCACAAAGAACATGTTGCATTGACACTATTATAGTTATTCTTAATATTTTGGATTTTCAAATCATATTAAATCTAGTTATTGTTTTTAATTTTATAGAAATAAATGTCTATAGTTTTTATTACGTTTTTGTTATTTAGCACTAGCTGAAATAAATTAAGTTTTTAAAAAAAAATTAAATTTAAATATAACTTTATTTCAATTAATGCAAAGTAAATCCACTTAATTAACTTTTCAAGTAAAGCTAATTCCTTTTATAATAAACTTGAAATAGCTACATGTCTGAATTCTAAGTATAGTATTTTCTGGAATACAATTTGAGTTTTTTTTTTAATAATCTGAATCATTATATAAGAACAATAATACTTGTAAGCAAAAGTTTAGGTACTCTAAACATTTTAAACGCGTGTGAAAGTTGCTTTTATATGGATTTCTGGTACGGAGAGTTCAAGTTTTAGTAATAAAGGCAGCAAATAAAAAAACGTTTCAAAACGAGAGGTACGATTAAGCCATATGCTTCCTTCCTATTTCTGTTTTGCAAGCTTTGAACAATATTTTACTGGAAAAGACGTGAAATCTTGTTTCTCCTCTAAACATAGTCCATTTTTTTCCCTCCTTCTGTTTTCAAGTAGAAAAACTGTGGATCAGATATAGCTTTGCTTATATCAATTACAGTTAACAATCATTAATCTTAGTTTTTTGCATGTGGTAAATGACAGTAATGTGTAAACGTA